AGAACAAGGGGTGAAACTTGTGGTTACCAGAGGAGGGGAGGAAGTGGAGGGATTGGAGGCAGGGGGTCAAAAGATGCAAACTTCCAGCTGTAAGATAAATAAGCGCCAGGGATGGGATGTGTGCTATGGTGACACAGCATGTGATGTACAGGAAACTTGGGAAGGTAGTACATCCTGAGAGTGCTCATTGCAAGGAGATGCTTTTTCTGTTTTTCTTCTCTCTTTTCCTTGAATTGTATCTTTTATGAGAGGATGAATGTTTGCTGAGCTGTGGTAACCATGTCACAGTAGATGTCAGACCTTAAACTTCTACAGTGATGTGTGCCAGTTATTTCTCAATAAAACTGGGGGGAAAGAGATTCTGATCTGTAGTTCTCAGTGTTCAAACTGGAGACGGATATAAAGAAGTCACTGTTTTCTCATATGTATGACTACTTGTCTCTGTGTGTATGAGTATAGTATCACTAGTTTTTCATTTTGTGTAGCATAAATATTTAAAGTATCTTCTCTCTGCAGGTGAGTCAGGCTTTGATTATTATTTTAAACCTCAGGGCTGTAATGATTGATTTTCCAAGTTTATATTTGTGTTTTAACTAAATCGGTATTAGAGCATTTATCTTTTGTTAAACACATTTGTCTAACCTCACATATTGAATTTATTTTATGTGTTAGGACATATAATGTGTGTTATGTTTGTCATCATTTTGTTATTTTACTGTATTTGCATTTTCTTACTATTTATAATATGTGAAAGTTCTAAGACTTAAGTGTATTTTAAGTAACGAGATAAACACTGTAACAAGATAAAGCTTTCTCTTCTTTTATAATAGAAGGAATTTAGAAGATTTTTTCAATCAGTCAATTAATCAATCAATTAATTAATTTAGAGAGGAGGGGAGGGGCAGAGGGTTAGGGGGAAAGAATCCCAAACAGATTGCATGCTGAGGGCAGAGCCTGATACAGGTCTGAGGATCATAACTTGAGCTGAAACCAACAGAGGTAAATGACTGAGCCACCCAGGCGCCCTGGAATTTTGGAAGTTTTAAGGACATTTCCAGTTTGTTTTTAAGACACAAAATTAATCAACCAGAATTTGTTCTGTGCCTTTCTTTGAGAATAGTAGTTTCCTTAACATGTCTTATTTATATATATATAATATATTTATATATATATTATATTTATATATATATATATGGACTAATGATCTAGTAGAGATGACATAATATTACTAAGACCATAGGACATTTATGTATGTTTAATTCACCCTTAATTTGTTTCTTCAAAGATTGAAACCTTATAGGTAGGCTAACTTTGTAGCAGAACTTTGTATTTGTAAAATTACTAGAAGTGAAAAAATAACTGAAAAAATGAGTCCTGTTATTTTAGTGCCTTAATTAGCTCAAACGAGGGCAACCTCCCCCCCCCCCCAACTTGCAAAGGGCTCAGAATCATTTAGGGATCTATTTCTAATACTTATGCCTGGACACCACCCTTGAGCTTATAATTCCACAGGTTGGGGGAGGGTGGGAATCACTAAGGTAAATGGTTGTGTAAACTGGTTTGTTTATTGCAGTGTTGTGGCAGTGGACAGTTAGAAGCACTAGAAATATTTATCAAAAGTGTGTGCAGTGAACTGGATATCTTGGTCTAGTGAAATTCCTTGCAGACATCTGAAGGATGATGGGGATAATGTCCTGTGTACTGACTTAGAAGGATGGTAAATGTATTTATGAGGTATAACTAGGACCTGGATCCTGCTTGTATTTATAACAAACTCTTTTGTTAGAATATATACAACTGTTATTTATGGTTATCTCTGAGAGCAGGTTCTTTTGTTTCTTTTTTTAGGAGCTTCCTAATTATTTGAGAAGGGGCCAGAGGACTTGTAGGCTGTATGCGAGTGGGTTGGCAAGGGGTTGGAAGAAGGGACCCAGCTAATGGAGTTGCAAGCAGGATTGGGAAGGAAGTGATGCCAGGGTGGGAGGCGCAAGCCAGGCCAGGGTGCCGGACTAGTGCTCTTCAACGCAGAGAAGCAATCACTAGGAGTGACAGTGCCAGCTTCAAGGGACTTGCTGTTGACCGTTAGACTCACTGTTACGGAAAGGAAATGATGAACTAGACATTCTGTGAAGTTGCTGTTTATGACGGAGAATGTAGATTCCAGGAGCCATGGGAGAAAGAGTTGTGTGGGGAACAATGGGAGCTTGGGGGTGTTGCTGCAGAGGCAGGTGCTGGAGGGGGACCCTGTGCCAGAGTGGGCGTAACACCCAGAGTGGGCCTCAGAAAGGCTGGGAGCCCTGAGGCCCGGTGCAGAGAGCCAGTGTGAAGGCTCTCGGTCAGATTCTGGCATCTGGTGGCTGCTCAGTGAAGGCTGGATGTTGTGGGCCAGCCACGCGGGCTCATCTGTCTAATGGAGCAAGTGCAGGTACAGGCCTGACAGCTCCTGCTGAACCACACAGCCGTGCCATCTAGTGAGCTTCGCATTTCTACACACCTCAAATTCTAACTTCATTAACTGGCATATTCTTTTTTGGTAGGCGAAATGGCAAAAGAAATAGTTTGTTTTCTTATTTGTGAAGTGTCTTACTTTTTCCCCAATAAAATAGGTATAAGACAACCACTGGAGGACTTTGACTTTTTCAAAATTACTCTCTGAATTCCATTTAATTTACCTATTTCCATAAATTTATGTAATTTGTATAACTAGTTGCTAAAAATTATTTTCATTTTCCCATATTTTTCTTGTTGCTTTTTAATGTATATATTATCTAATAAAGCACATAAAATTAATCTCGAATGTACATATTTGTACAGTTCATTTTAGAGCTTTAAAATTTTTTTATTGGTGTTTTTCTTAGAAACCATGCATTCCAATAAGATCAAGAGCAAGAAAATGGATTATCAGATATTATTTATTTGGACTTTATAATTTTAATTCAGTGGTACTTTTAGGTAGTAGTTATTGAGCCTATTTGCATAAAATTCCAAATAATTGTGCCTGAGAGTTGCCATTGTGCTTTACCAATGAGACCTCTTGTGAACATCACAGCTTCTTAAGCCGAGTAGTGACTGGGATGTCACTCTCTTTGGTTGCCATTTTGGAGAATACTCACATTAGCTTTCTGTTCTCTTCCTACAACTTAACATAGTTCCTTAAACACAGTAGATGACCAGTGATCATAACTACTGGATTTGTGTGTGTTGCTTTCCGTCAGTCCCTAATTTTCTAGACGCTGAGGGTAGGAGCATTTATTTATTTGGTCGCATTATCTGTCCTCCTTGGCGGGCGTTGTAGGCTCAAGGCACATCCCGTGCTCAAGTTATAGCCAGTGGAGTGGGGAAAAGGGACAGGAGAAGGAGCAGCGACAGATGCTGGGGTTGTTCAGAACATAGCAGGAGCACAGGGATAGGGAGGAGATGAAAGGTCGGTGGGTAGGTGGAGATGGAGAGCCAGTGGGTATCAGATGCCATGCTGAGCAGTTGTGGTTGTGAGCCATTGAAGGCGTGTGAGCACATGGCTTAGTTCATAAGTAAGTTGAAGGTTGAGCAGAACAGTGATTTGGGGGCTGGCATCATCGTGGTGTTTGTCTCTGTCAGATTCAGTATGTGGGTTCTGGGAAGGGTGACTCAAGCTGCTTGTTTTGAGTGGGAGCGGAGTCACTAGGAAGGAGCTGGGCAGCATAGGATGGCGTTGGGGCTGCTGGAGAGAGGACATTTCTGAATAGCGTTGATTCAGCCCTACTGCTCCAGGACACTTATGAAATGGGGAAAGTGGCAATTTTAGTGTTTGTGTTGTGTGGATCGAACACAGATCCCAAGGGAGAGGGCTCTGAGTTCTCGTTGAAAACCAAATGGGCTTCTGATGCAAGTGTCAGGAAATGTGGGTCTGTTAACTTCAGTCTGATATGGGGGTGACTTTGTGGAGCTACTGAGGCCTCTCCAGCTGTGTGACTTTGCTCTCCACTGTTTGAGATCATTGGCCGTGGGAATAGAGATGGGGAAACAGGTGTACGAGGCACTGGAGAAGTTCGACTGGCAAATTACTTAATGAGACGGGGAAAGATCTGGAACACCGGGCCCCGTATGACTGGGAGGAGGGTTGTTTTCACATACAACAGGAGAATTGAGGGAGAAGGAGGTTTTGGGGCAAAGAATTGAGCTGTAGCCTGGGCTATCAGGGAGAGCCGGTAGCATGCTAAGAGGGCCTCTAAGAATCCTCGCTGGGAGTAAGGGCACAGGGAGTGAGTGAGCAGGGAGGTTGGGAGTGGGCCTGGATCCCGGCAGGCAGCATGCTGTCAGGGAGCTGATGGTGAAGTCTTCCTCTTAATGCTCCAGGTAAATGTGAAGTAATTCAAATGGCTCAGGTGGACATTTGTCCTGAGTTGCGTTTTGAATCCAATAGCTTGATCAAGACATGTTTATTACATAGGCAACCTAAGGGGATTCTTCCTTTATTGAAAGTATGTAAAACCCGAAATACTTAAATACTATTAAATACTAATACTTAGTACTTTTGCCGTTCACAGATAATCCTTTAATAAAAATGGCTATGGGAAAGCTGACTCATTTTTAGGACAAAAGATCATGTTAGGACCATTTGTGGTTTGAGTTTATTATGGTGCTTAGGGAACAGTATACTGAACAAATAAAGGATTTACTATCCTGATGAACCTACATTTTGGATATAGTTTATTTAGATTCCATGCCAGTAAATGTAGGAATCCATTAAAAATTGGCTCTAAGACCAAAGGAAGTAACTGCAGCATACAGATACTCCTTGTGTTGGAAAATATCTGTCTTATATTAACTGTGTTTCCCCATGGGCTTTTAAAAAATAGCCAATACCTAACACAGTTAAGATAGCACTTAGCAGCAACACTGCAATCTAGACTGTAACTCCTCAAAACCTTCATCTTCCGGGGAAAGCAGTTGCTTTTTGACATTTAACTTTTTTAGTAGCATTAACAGTGAATTATTCCTGATTTTCTTTTGGTTTGTAGGTCTTATCCAGCCTATTCCAAGAAACCAGTTTTTTCAAAGTTATTTTAATAATAATTTTGTAAACGAAGCAGATAGACCGTACAAGTGTTTTTACTGTCATCGTGCATATAAAAAATCTTGCCACCTTAAACAACACATCAGGTAAGGTAACAGATTCAGAAATGGGAATGTAGAGCAAATACAGTGACTTAGTGAGCTGGTGACTTGTAGAAATTTTAACGATGGTAGTGTCAGCTTTTGGTATTTAAAATATCGCATTTGACCCCAAAGTATTTATTGGTGACTGATGTTTTCATTCTTTAGTGTCATGATTATAATATTTTACCCAGAAATTGTCACTGAGTTTTACGTACACCCCTCTTATATTTCAGTGTTTGCAGTTTCTAGGACGTGTCAGAAAAGTACTTGGTTTGTTGCATTACAATTACTTTAGCAGTGTTTCAGTTGTGTTCATCAGCATTAAGTTGAATGCTGCGTGCTAGCAACAGTGGAAAGAAAGCAGAAACTCGGTCCCGAGAGATGGTGAAATGTCATGAAACTGCTTAGAACTTAGGGGCAGGCTTGCGATACAGCTTTGTCTCCCCTATGTGCCCCCTCCCTGTGTGGCTTCAGGCAAGTCACTCGAGCTCTCTGAATCTCGGGTGTTACTCACTGCTTAGCTTTAGAAAGTGGTGTCCAAGTGAAAGAATGTACTAGTGCACAATAGAGTATAAAGCATTATAAAGTTGTAAGAAGCTTATTCATGAAAATTTTTATTCTTTTTAGATCACATACAGGTGAAAAGCCTTTTAAATGTTCTCAGTGTGGAAGAGGCTTTGTTTCTGCAGGAGTGCTCAAAGCACACGTCCGAACGCACACGGGACTAAAATCTTTCAAGTGTCTGATATGTAATGGAGCTTTCACTACTGGTGGTAGCTTACGGCGACATATGGGTATCCATAATGACCTTCGTCCCTATATGTGTCCCTATTGCCAGAAAACATTTAAGACCTCATTAAATTGCAAAAAGCACATGAAAACCCATAGGTAGGTATAATTCTGATGGTCACTTTTTAGTAATCTGTAATTCCCAGATGGTGGTAGACAGTGTTTTTAAGAAATAATTGTCTTTAATTCCTGTATTATTCCATCTAGCTTGAGGAGTATGGGCTCAGGAAACTTTCATGTCATTGTCTAAGAATCTGTTAAGAGCTGCAGACTAGAACATTAATGCTTTTATTTTTAATATAATATTGAAGTAGTCTATATTGAGCTAGATGCTTTTTAAGTTCTCTTAAAACAGGTAGTAGTAACTGAAACACTAAATAAACCATGGCTGGGATAATTAGGTCATGAAGACTGCCAAAAGGAAAATCCTAGTTAGTCAACCTTGGGATTTCTAGGCAATCATTCATATCTGAATGATCATTCTGTGTTGTTAACTAGGAACATATGTTTTAGCTATCACATAAATCCATCGTTAAAATTAAGTTACATTTTTACTTGATTAGAAGGCCCATCTCATCTCTAAATAAAGGTGAGCTGAGAAGCCCTTATAGACACTGGCTGTATCTGGAGCTTGTTCATGGGTGTTTCTGTGATGCCACAGGAGTCTGTATTGTAATGGAAAGCCTAGATAAGGTAACTTTGAAACTAAGAGTCACTAGGTCTGCCATAAGAGAATATTAAACCTTCTGGTCCAGAAAATTTACTTCCAGGCAGTATTTTAACCCAGATATCTCTGCCTGATATTACCAACAAAACCAAACCCCAAATGGTAGAATAAGCTAACTGTGAGAAATAGTTGTTTGGTATTATCCCTCTAGATGTCTAAGCACTTAGGACAGAAAATTGTCTTCTTTGATCTTGGCATAATTGATTCGTGCACTGAGAAGTGGAACTGCTGGAGTATGATATTGGTGGTGTCACTGTGGGGGACTCTTGCCAGTTTTATATCCAGTTTATACTTTCCTGCATTTTATGGAGGAAATGATGGCTTCACAAGCATTTGTACTGGGGAATTCCTGGTGCCTAGAGGTTTGGGGTATTGTGCTCCCTGATTGCTATACTAGGTGCCTAAGAGCAGTACATGCTGAGAGGGGTTGACCTGGGACATGACCTGGCCCATTGGCATGTGAGTAATACTTTGTCTCTATCAGGAATTCAGGGCTTTTTAAGCCCGTGCACTCGCCATGGTAGTGTGGGAGTCCACGCTGAAGGCCTAGTTTATGGACTTGGCAGCCAAGTAGTAGAATTTCTGGGAAGTAGGTCAGCTGTTTTTGGCTAGGTCACCTCTATTAGGTGAAGTGTTGCATCGGCCGCTGCTGGGTGTTCTTCTCCTATAGATTGTGTGTTCTTGAACCCACCTGCAAGCAGCGAGGCGCTTCAGTGTTTCATCCCTTTGTTCGAAGTGTTAGGAATTCCTAAAATACCATACATGCTTATATTAAAAATAAGTATAAAAGGTAAAAGTATAGAAAGTAGTACAAGTATAGGAAAAAAGCTTCTATCAGTTACCACACAAGACAATCTCCTCCCATCCTTTGGGGAGTCATGAAGAAGCCCTGAGTGAACATCTTGGCACTGCTGCAGTTACCATCATAGTAAAGGTGTCACGATGTATGTTTTAATACTCGGCTATTTTTATTACATTTTTGTTTCCCCTTCCTCAGTAACAGTAGTTGAGGGGTGACCGTTTTTGATATTAGAAAATGAAGAAAGATTTTGTTTGGAACTAAGAATGGAATTCTAAGTAGGCATAAGATTCTGGAATCAGGCAGATGGTGTAGTGTATTTGCGTCTGACCCTGGTATCTTCAAGAGGGGAACAGACCGTTGATGTCTCAGGTACTGTGCAGCCTATTAATCAGGTAATTGAGCTGCTTTTTTAAAGTTCTTTGATTCATTTCACTGAATTTATTGTTCATTTTTCACTTTGGGAAATTGTTGACCTCAATGGAAATGTACTGGACATATCCACTATATATGTAACAGCAATATGAATGTGAATAATGATTTGCAGAAATTAGGAGTAGCCACATATATGCCTCCTAGTCAGGGTTCTGTCATGCAATAGATCGTTGGTCAAATATGGTGTCTGTGGCCCCAGACTGTGAGGGACAGCAGGTCATAGGACTCTGCCCCCAATCTATGCACCACATTTGTTTATAATATTGAAATCCATCTGTAAAGGTGCTATCTTACTTTGTTCAGTGCTTTTTCTGTGTACTTTAACTCATTGCAGAATGAGTTTTAGTTTTAATTTTGAACTAGGACAGCTTTACTTTGAAACATATCTTTTTAATTTTCTTTTTAAATTTTAAATATTCTGCTGTGTGTTGTCTTTCATCCTCTCTTTGCTGCTTTCATGTCCCTATAATCTGTGAAAGCCCCTGTGTTAAGGGAACATGATTTTCCTTTAGAGTTATTAATAGCATTTAATTTCAACTGGATTGCCACCATGGCTTCAAATGAAATAGTTTTCTTAAAATGTTATCTAATAAATTGCGGCTTGCACAACAGTACTTCCTGGGAGTAAATTTTGACAGCACCTAACTGTGTGGATTGTCGTTGATGTTTTGAAGATACGAGCTTGCCCAGCAGCTCCAGCAGCATCAGCAAGCCTCCTCGATAGATGACAGTGCTGTAGACCATCAGAGCATGCACGTCTCGACACACATGCAGGTGGAGGTTGAGAGCGAAGAGCTGCAGCAAGCGGCGGCGGCAGGCACCACAGACCCCGAGGCCATGCTAGACCTGGAGCCCCAGCAGGTCGTGCGCACGGAAGATGCGGGACTTGGTCAGCAGTTGACACATCAACCTCTGGAAGCAGATGAAGGCAAATATTTCCGAAGTTCTAACTTTTACAACAATCATATGGTTTTGCAGCTGATTATGCTCACTCCAGTCTGTATTGGTATCTCTCTGACTTTAAAGCACAGTTTGTGCCATGTGTGTACGCCTGCGCGGGTTTGCTGTGATAGAGAATCACAGAAATAGGACCCTTCCACACACGCTTTCTTTGTAGGCTACTCTTCTCCTTTCTTATGTTGAGAATAGCTTTCGTTTTCAGTACGTACACATCTGTCTGGTCAGTAGCATTCTGTCATCACACACCGCACGTCTGATTCACAGCCCTATGTGGGTGTGTGAGCCATTTGTCACTGTCTGCAGCGGGGTCAGGCCCTGATCCAACCATTGCTGTCCTCATCGATGGAATCTTGTGGAGAAAGACGTCGGCTCTAGTGTAGACAGTGAGCCTGGGGACGTAGTGATTTGTGTCTGGCACAGGCTCCCTGTCTCGTACATGCCTGCTAACAGACAATTTGCTGGCCAGTTTACTGTTTGTGTGATGGAAATCCCAAATGTGTGTAGTCCGTGAGCAGGATTTTGTGCTTTTTATCCTCTATGTTGCCACAAGGTTTTAAATAGTTCTTGAATGTAATTGTACTCAGTGTGTTTCCCTACAGAAAAATGTCTAAGTTATAAACTGTGAAGTGATATTCTCCAAGTACAGAGATAATGCCTTAAGTATACCCCATATATAAAAAACATAAATTATATACTTATTTTTATATAGACATATATTTAACACATTATCAGTCATATTATTTAATATTATTTAATTTATTATGAGTAAGTAAATTATTTATAATAATAAATTAAAATATAAAGGTATAAATTATATATATATATAAATTGCCACCCTGTTGTCTTTTCAAAATAAGGAAGCTAGTGTTTGAAAACTCACTAATATATCCTTTTGGACAGAGTGGTAGATCTCACTGTGTTGGAAATCGATGACTCCCCTTCTGTCTGCATCTTTATCTCAGACAGGTTCGTGGCCCCGCCCGCTCTGCAAGGGCACATGGACCAGTTTGAGGAGCAGGCGCCAGCACAGCAGTCCTTCGAACAGGCTGGCTTGTCGCAGGGTCAGTGACGGGTCCCATGTGGGCATTGAGGCAAGCTGCTCCGGGGGCGGCTGGATTTTATAGCAGCCTACGTGTTTGTTTTCAGGCCCTTCTAAAATTGATCATTTCAGCCAATAACTTTTGGCCTGGATTGCTCATGTGTGCGTGTGCGTATGTATGCGCGTGTGCTGTTTGCGGTGGGCTCGGGTTGTCTGGAAGTACCTATAGTGACCATCTGCATGTCGTTTGTGGCTGAGACAGTGACTGAATAGAAGTAGGGGTGGGGGAAGCCGTGCATGGCCAGCTCGTCTGGGAGTCTGTGCGACAGGGGTGTGGGTACACGTTCTTAGGGCCTGCTGGGAAAAGCTAACCTTGATTCTAAGTCAGAAGGCAGAAATCTTCATCTGTAAAGCCAACTTTTTAGTCTTTTTTTGGTGTGACTGTCGTATTTTTTGTCAAACTCATGTTTTTTGTTTTGTTTCAGGCTTTACCGTGACTGATACATATAGTCAGCCGACCCCGTTTGCACCCGTCCAGCAGCTGCAGGACTCCAGCACACTGGAATCTCAAGCCCTATCCACCAGCTTCCATCAGCAGAACCTACTGCAGGTCCCCAGCTCTGATGCTATGAACGTAGTGAGTGTCCATGGGAGGGGCGCTTGTCGTTGGCTGGCACATTCTGTTTTACTTGTCACTGTACTCATGCTCATTCTGCTTATGTAGAAGGATGTGCTGACTTCTTGTGGCCACGGTGATTGCATCATCTGGGAGGCTGAGATGCTCACATACACGTCTTTTCCCTTCAAACATTTATATTTTATTTAAAGACTTAAGTCCCATGACATAAGATTTTACCTTTGGGTTATAAGTCAGGGAAGTCAGTAAAGCATCATGTAATAAATATGAAGGGTATTATGTTGCTTTAGTGACATGGCCTAAATGGTTTTATTGGTGGAATCTTAAATGTGGAACCTTAGCATGAAAATACTAAGAATGCTGACATACTAAAAATAAATATTCAAACACATGATTTAAAATTTCTACTCAGTCTAGTTGGAAACATCTAAATTTTGGTTTTGGTTTTGATTTTCCAATTTTTGGGAAAGTTTCAATAGACATGGAAATGATTGGACAATCGTTCTTTTTTCTTCTTTTTTTAAAAAAATTTATTTATTAGAGGCGCGCACGTGCACGCATGCACAAGATGGCAGAGCAGCAGGTAGAGGGAGAAGGAGAAGCAGGCTCCCTGCTGAATAGGGATCTAGATATGGGGCTCGATCCCAGGAGCCTGGGATCATGAACTGAGTTGAAGGTGTTAACTAACTGAGCCCCCCAGGCGCCTCTAATCAATTGTTTTCATTCTTTACAAGCCACCATTGAAAGAGAACAGGGCCACTGTTGGTAGCTTCTCCTGGACCCTCAGAGCACATTTTCGTAGAGTAGAAAGCACGTCATTCAGATGCTGAATCTGGGCAGCAGCGAGCATGCCATGTGGTGGTGGCTTGCCCTTCGCTGCAGAGCCTCTGAATACAGCTGTGCACGCACCCAGGGTGCTCGTGGCAGAAGTCAGGTGAGCAAGTTGCCATGACAGGTAGGCTCTTGCTGTTCAGTCCTGGCCTGTTCTGCATGTTCTCAGGGTCAGCTCCCCTCTGTCCTGTGAGCATCAGTACTTTCTGGACGAGTCAGACATCCTGCACTAGATCTTTACTCAGCTCCCGCTGGGGCAGCTGGGTCGCCATACCTGTGTCAGGAAGGGATGGGGCTGACAGGACTGCTCCCCACAGGCATGCTATTTCTCCCGAGGCGGGGAACATGCTTTCTCTCCCTGTGGTTTTCTGACAAGTGAGGTAGTAGGACTTTGATTCACTCTCAGTAAGAGTAGAGCAGGTGAGGAATCTCTTACTAAGAAGTATAAAAAAATAAGGAAAGACCAATTTCATACTTGGTTAAACTTTGTATCAAAGCAAATTAATAGAAAATAAGTAATAAAATTGGTATGAAAGACTTTTATTATTAACCTAACCAAATAAGTTTCTCCTTTGAATCTGCATTTATAAACATTCATGTCCTTAGTTGTTAGTTGTTTTGCATTTATTTATAGGTATTCAGGTAGTCTGCTTTATACTTCTGCTAAATTTTAGACCACTCGTCTGATCCAGGAGTCATCCCAGGAGGAACTGGAGCTGCAGAGTCAACGTCCACAATTCCTGGAGGACAGGGAGGATCAGAGCCGGCGCTCCTACAGGTAGGAGGGCGTCTGGGCGCTGCTGGGCGCTGCTGGACAAACTGCTGTGTGCAGCGTGTGCCTCCCCCTGCCCGGGCAGCGCTGTGAACAAGGTCCATTATCATTCCCATGTTATTATCATTGAGGGATCTGAGACCAAAGAGGTGAGCTTGCCAAGATCTCTGCAGCTTGATAGAGGACCAAGGTGAGGAGGTCACAGCCTGTGCGACTCACCTTTTCCGAGGCGGTCTCCTGTTACCCTGGAAGCCCTTGCTACCATATTCTAGTTAAACCACATTCAGGGTTCTTTGTCATCTTTCTACGTAACAAGCACAAGGCACAGTGCTTGCAGTGACAGTTTGTAAACGCAGCTGCTCATCTTTCAGGCAGCCATTTGTTCGGCACTGCATTCTGCGTGCCTTCTAGGTGCCATGTGTGATCTGGACGCTGGAAGGACATGGCTGACAGATAGATGGCTGCCTCAGGATGCCAGGACCAGGACACGCACGGGGAATAAGACAAACGTGGTTTTACAAAACTGAATGTGAGCATCCACATCATCTGAAAAGCAAAAGGAGTATTGTTTTTATGGAGATAGTCTTGGCTCCATAACATTGTAATAATTTTTTTATTTGCTTAAAATACTTCTGAAAGTCTAATGATTTTTTTTCCAAAGCCATTTAACCAAAGAAATACTATATAGTTACCCTTTAAAAATGGTGAGCTGTCTTATCTCAAACAGGTGGTCCCAATTGAGGTTTTTGAGAATGGCTGAGGTTTGCTAATGTCATGAGGAGAACAGTGTTTGAGAGGCTGAGTCACCTTCTTCTCACGTGCCCATGGGACTTGTCCCTCATGCAAGATCTTGAGTACCTTGGGCTGGTGTTCTTGTGCAGCGGATATCTTACCTTTGGAAGTGTGTCATCTTGAGATCATCTTGAATTTGCAGAAATATAACTGTGTTAGAGCCACAGTTCCTCATTTGGGGGGAATCCATGGATGCTGAGGGAGATACACACAGCTGGACTTCAGGATTTCTGCGACTGTCCTGCTATTTTATTTACACTTTCATCTATTGAGCAAGTATTCTCCTGCCAATGTTTAATTAGGATTTAGCAGTGATCCTTTTAAGTGCAATTAATCACATGCTTTTTCAGGATTCTTCCTTTGTGACATCTGCTTAGGTATTTGTGGCCTTCTAGGCTTGCATCATTCATGCATTTATTCAACATTTGTTAATAGTCCATGATATGCCAACCACTAGGGCTGTATTAGCAAAACAGAAAAAAAACCCCTGTCCTCAGGAGTTTGCACTCTAGTGGAAAGAGATGAACAAAATGAATAAGGGAGACGCACCGTAGATGTGGTATTGCTGTGGGCCATGGGGGAAGAGGCAGCAGGAGGAGGTGCCAGGTACTATGTGGGCTGCTGATGGAAGAGGCAGGTGTTGCCATCCGGGGAGTGGCCAGAAGGTAGGACCCACGGGATTTGTAACAGGTAGAGGTGTGAGAGGACGTGAGGTTTAAGGATGACTTCTTGGACTTCGACCCAAGCAACTGGAAGGAAGAAATACTATCCCTGGAAAGGGGGAGACTTTTGGGGGAGCAGGCCTGGCGCTAAGGCCAAGATTTGGTTTTGTGTCATTAGGGTTGATATTTGAGAAGAGGGGTCACGTAGGTTCGTTATACCAGGTTGGGATTAAGGGGAGAGGTCCGGCTGGAATCACGCAATTGGGAGCTCTCAGTATACAGGCTAATATTAAAGCCATGAGGGTGCATGTCCATAAAAAAAGGAGAATCTGTTTTGTCAAGTATTTTATAAACCTAAAGAGTATATGAGTTGGCATTTCCAAGTGTCTGCACTCGGGAGTGAATCTGACCCTGAGGTGATGGAAGATTTCACAGTGTTTTGTATGGCTTAGTAAGGAAATGAGTACATAATAAACTTTTCTCCTGTTAGTATTTGATTATCAGATAAAATGCCTGCTGGGGGATTGCTGTAGGATTTGCTGATATTGAAATAATAAAATATATGTAAGATTACAGATACCTTGAGCAGAATTTGATCCAACAAATTATTATTGCTAGTATTTGATAATTTCTTAGATGTTGGTGAGTACACCCTATTGTGGTAACACTTGGGCCCAATTGTTGAGTGATCACTGGTGAAGACTGTTTGTGTTCCTCCAGTCTCCGATGTCACCCTTGTAATTGTGTTGTGTTTATAGGTGTGAGTATTGCAACAAAGGCTTTAAGAAGTCTAGCCACCTGAAGCAGCATGTGCGGTCCCACACTGGTGAGAAACCCTACAAGTGCAAGCTCTGTGGACGCGGCTTTGTTTCCTCCGGGGTCCTCAAGTCTCACGAGAAGACACACACAGGTCATTGTCTGCCTGGCACGGGGGCCTTGTGGTTTCCAGGATTTTCACGGAGGGTTGTGGCCGTCACTGCCACCTCCTCCTAGAACATTTCCATCATAGCCAAAAGAAGCTCTGTACCTATGAGCGGTACACTCCCCATTTTGCCTCGATGCCCTGCCCTAGGCAGCTTTCCATCTCTGTGGAACGTCTGTTCTGGACATGCCATACAAATGGAAACGTGCAGATAGGCCTCCCTTTCCTGAGCATGTGTGCAGGGTTCTTCCACACTGTAGCCAGCACCAGCACCTCGTTCCTTCCTGTAGCTTTGTGTGGAGGGACCACCTTTTATTCCTCCATTATCTGTCGTTGGACGTTTGAGTAGTCTCCACCTTTAGGCTCCTGGGAATTATCCTGCTGTGAACATGTGTGGCTTGGTCCTGTGGTAACTCAGTGTAAACCCTTGAGTTGATCCGACTTTTCCACAGTGGCTGCACCATTGTGTTTGTCCACCCGTGATGGACAAGGGTTTCCAGCTCACGCTCTGCTCAGCACTTGGTGTTGCTTTTCCCTCTCCCATGACCATCCTTAGTGTGCCATGGAATCTACTCATGGGTTTCATTTATACCTCTCTAGGGGCTGACAATTTGGAACTTCCTACAGTGTGTGTATTGAGAAGCAGCTCTTCTAATCCTGTGTCATTTTACATTAGATTCTTGGCAGTCTTACTGTTGAGTTGTTTAAAGAATTTTCAATACATTATCAGATATAGGATTTGCAGTTTTAAATCTGTTACTTTTATCTGTTCATTAAATTCAGTATGTTTATTGGGTAATATATGTTTCATTACCCGTGTATTCTGTATAAGGCTTCATTTGAAAATAGAAACATACTGACAGAACAAGGGCAGGCTCTGCTCTGTAGGATTAGTCACAGTTGGTGGTCGCAGGCACAGGAAGATGGGCGGAGGGCAGGTGCGGCGAGGGCCAGCTGGAACTCCCTGCAGCAGAGGGGAGCCTGCACAGCTTCGATGAGGAGCCGTGGCTGATTGTCGTGGTGGTGCGATGTAGCTGAAGTGTCAGTGATGGAGGGGCAGAGAGAACCTGGCACTTGTTTAAAGCAATGCTCTCGTGGCCTTAATTCCACTAGTGAATTCGTAGTAAGACTCTGTGTCTATTTCCATATTCTTAAAATAAGACCAGGGCAGTAAACTGTCTTCAGTTTTGTGGCTTATCAAAAATATCTTTGTTTGCATTTGACTACTTTTGCTTTTAAGGTAATGAAATATGTTTTTTTAACCTTGTTTCTGTTGCCACAGGAGTAAAGGCATTCAGCTGCAGTGTTTGCAACGCCTCATTCACGACCAATGGCAGCCTCACCAGGCACATGGCCACGCACATGAGCATGAAGCCTTACAAGTGTCCGTTTTGTGAGCAGGGCTTCCGGACCACAGTGCACTGTAAGAAGCACATGAAGAGGCACCAGGCCGTCCCCTCTGCTGTGTCAGCAACAGGAGAGGCCGAAGGAGGAGGTACTGCCCATCGTTGATTCGAGGTTCAATAGCCAGATGCTAGAGGACTGATAGATGAGTGTACACATCACTTTTAAAACTAGTTTATTTTCTGACTATGACAGCAATATGTGCTCTCAGGGAAAAGATGCAGGAGGAGCAGAGAAGGAAGCTACCTCGGTAGTCACCACACCCCAGGCATGCGTGGAGGTTGTGATGATAATTTCTTGACAGACAGAGCCTCTTGCCTCACAGTGTCATGGTCCACTTGGTTTTCCCTCTGCTGGTGTCTGTCGTGGACAGATATGGTACTAAACACAGATCTGCCTTGGTTCCAGGGATGACATGGAAGTCCTATTCGGTTCCATAATTCCCTGTTGATGGATGAGTGCTTTCCATCCATGTGTGTCCCTGAGCAAGAGCAGCAGTTAGGGAGCGCCGTACCCCTCCACACGTCTGTGGAGCTAGTGCAGTGTTAAGACAGGCAGGTTAGCGCACCTTCCACTGTGTACGTGCCGTCATCCTAGGAATATCCTTTCTTCTTAGCATGTCCCACAAGTGAAACGTTGGGATTAAGAATGTGCAGTTGTCTGTTCTGACCACACAGCATTTTAGCGCTGTGACGCGGCTGGCGCTTGATGTCTGTGGGGGGAGTGTGATGAGGCCAGGGTGTGAGCGTTGGGTGGGCTGATGGCTCATTGCCTTCTTCCCCATGTGCTCTGTGCTCACCTGGCCTCCAAGTCACGGTTGTCTCTGGTGTGCTCAGCTGAAGCGACAGCCCTATAGCTTTATCTTATATTTTGGGGGAAAGGTCTTTAAAATGTAGCTAACCTACCTGAAGGTGGTAACAACTCTGACTCCACCACTGAGCCGCTGCTCTGGCCTCCTCAGTAGGTAATTTTGAATGCCCTTGTTTCTCACCTCTAGTACTTCCTCACGTGGTGCCAACTTTTCAATCTTGTCATTCCTTGTAAAGCCTTTATTTCCACCATTGTCCTGTGATGAATGGAGGACAAGAAGAAATAACTTCTTTGCTTGTAGCGAGTTATGAAACCTACGGCACCACATACTATTTCTGGAACCCCTCAAGGTGGAGGGCGGTGATGAACAAGCCGATGTGGCATCCTATACTCTGTTGAGCTGTTCCCCATCATCATCAGCACCTTATGTCCTGGTGGCTCTGCCATGAGGATTGGCTGGGGCTCCTATAGCAGCCTCGTCTTTGCTACATATATATTGATGCCACCTTGGCGTGTCCTGGTATTTGGGATCATCTAGGAGTGGAAGCCACTGCACTACTCTCACACTGTGGGCTTTACTTTGGCATGTGTGTGAGGACAGGGCCTGTGTGGCCCCATGAGTGTCTCCTGTGTGTGAGGACAGGGGCAACATGGCCCTGTGAGTGTCCCCTGTGTGCCGTACTCCACTCCACTGCCCTTGGCCTCCCTCGGCTACCCCATGTTGATGGTGCTCTTGGGGCTTTGAATGTTACCCATGCGGGTGGCGCCGTCCAGACCCCGCTGTCCCCCCGGTTTGCCCAGGGTTTATTGTCTCCTTCCCACTCCTTCTATGCCCGTCTCCCTCCTGTCATTGTCCCTCTCCCCCAGCAGAGACATCCAGGTGGCTCCTGGCACTCATGGGGCACTGGCCCCTGTCCCTCTGGCTGCTGTTTATCTTGAGGTTTATTCTTCTGTTTCCTTGTCACCTGTGCCTCTGACCTCTGCTCCCAGGCACCCTCTCTTCCTCCTCAGGTTTGTTAGGCCTTCTTCTGGTTTTCAATCCCTGCACATACATCCTCCCTTCTCCCCGAGAGGATACTTACACATATTTATTTGAGGGTTTTTTTTTTTTTTTTTTTTTTTTTTTTTGGTAACTCGTTAGGGCCTTTTTGCTCATTTATCACTTTGGTCTTCTGTTTTGGGCTGCTGATTTTCTTTATCTGAGGATAATTCCATTTTCGCCCACATCAGTGAGTGTGTTGATGAATGCTGGTGACATGTGGACACGGGCGATTTCGGATCTCTCCGCCGGGCTGGTCCTCATGCAGGTGCTTTTGTGACAAGGTGGCCACAGTGCTGCTGCCCCGGGGACCCTGCTTGTTTCCACTGGCGGAGGGCAGGAAACTCCAGGGGCCCAAATAGAGCTTCATGAGTCATTCATTTTAAACTCTACGGACTTGTTTCGTTTCAATTTACTTGTTTTGTGAAAACTTAATTTTTTCTTAGGCTTGAATCCTTTTCCTGTGTTTTGTTTAGATGTGTGTATGGAGGAAGAGGAGGAGAATTCTGAAAGGAGCGCCTCCCGAAAAGCTCGTCCTGAGGTCATCACTTTTACCGAGGAGGAGACAGCACAGTTGGCCAAGATTCGGCCGCAGGAGAGCGCCACCGTGTCCGAGCAGGTCCTAGTGCAGTCAGCAGCGGAGAAGGACCGCATCAGTGAGATGAAGGACAGGCAGGCAGAGCTGGAGGCCGAGCCCAAGTATGCCAACTGCTGCTCCTACTGCCCCAAGAGCTTCAAGAAGCCCAGTGACCTGGTGAGGTGAGGCCGGCCAGCGCCATTCTGGGGCTTGCAAGAAGCATGTGCATGCGCCTCGGTCCTTTTGCCATGGCCAGGGAGGTCCGCTGTGGGAGCTGGTGCCTCCCGAGAGGCTGATTTGTTCCTGATGTGGCGGTTGTAAGCTACTGTAAATTCTGGGGCTTCTGGTCAGGCTCATCTGGAATGTTGGTTAGAACCCATGTGTTCTGAAAAAAAAAAAAAAAAGAACCCATGTGTTCTGTAGATGCACATGTCTGCACGACTGTGGTCTACAGCAGCCCCTCCCCCTGTGGTTTGTTAGATCCCTGTGGTCACCATGATCCCTGGGTGAGCGACCCGCTTCCTGATCTTTGTGACAAGGCCGTGGTAGCCTAGTGCGTGTTCATGTGTCATTTATTACCGAGTGTTGTTTTAATTGTTCTACTTTATTGTCAGTCATCGTTAATCTCTTGCTGCACCTATTTTAGAAATTAAACCCTATGATAAGTATTATGTATGTGCAGAAAAAAACAGTATCCATAGGGTGCGGTACATCCATGCATCCAGGCATCCCCTGGGAGTGTCATAATGTATCTCCTGAGGGTAAGGGGGGCCAGCCACTGGAGGTAAAAAAAAAAAAAAAAAAATTATTGAGGATGACATGGTGCCAGGTTTGCAGAGTGCATCAAGGACCTGCTACCCCCAGGAGTGCTGTCTACATAGGGAGCACCTGGCGGAGTAGACGGTGATGGTGTCATGGGACAGCATGTGATTGAGCCCAGTCAGCCCGATAGCGCGTGAGGTCAGGTGCAGCGGGATGGTAAGGAATGGACTCAGGACCCTGAGGGCCATGGGGAGGCACAGCCCGGGGAAACGACATGGAGGTAGAATGTTCTGTGGCACAACATAGGATACTTGGGTTTTGCTCGAGGAGAGAGCTAATAGGTGGAAGGTATAGGGCAGCATAACGCAGGGAGGGGCAGTTAGAATTTCAAGGAGGGTGATGGAGCAGGGATGCTGTCTGACTCCTCCCGACTCCCAGAGCCTCCCTCCTGACTGCAGAGTGGGTGGGAGAAGCGGGTGGCACAATGGTTCCTGCCCAGTGAGAGTGGAAGGTGATGGCCAGCCTGCACATGTCTTCCCTTGTGGGAAGGGAAGAACACCAGTGAGGGGGGTGGTGAGAGTGAGGTGGGTGAGCGGGATTAGAGTGAGCCCACAGGGAGCTGGCAGCATCCCTTCTGGGCACGCCCCAGAGGTCAGGGGATGTGATCCAGGCCGGGGAGTAACACAGCAGAGTGTACAGCAGGGAGAGGGCCAGGCGCTGTGATGGAGTTGGGTGCAGCCTGGCAGGAGGGGAGCTGGGAGGGGGGCACCTGGGGCGGCTGGTGGGAGGAGCCGAATCAGCGTGGGGGCTGCTGGGGATCCCAGATGAGAACCGCACCGGGACCAGGGCTGTGGAGCTGGTGGAGGCTGTGCAGCGTGAGTGCACTCTCTGCTGCAGACCCTTGCAAGGCTGCGGGCCTGGGGATGGCACCCAGGGGATGTCCGCCAGGACACAAGGCAGAGGCAAGGAACTGCGTGGTCGTCAGCACATAGAAACACGTCTGCTTCACCACATGGAGGGGGCTCAGCCATAAGTGTGGGACAGCTCACAGCTGATTGATCTTGTTCAGTCCTGCATTTAAACATCGTGGGAAGGTGCCGGGCAGAGATGACAGGGAAGCAGAACAAAACCAAAGCATGGCCCAGGAGCCTTCAAGTGGACACAGTCCTTCCTGTTCCCCAGAGACAGCCAGCAACAGTTTCTTGGGAACTTTTTTCCAGAAATGTCCACATATATGTCAACATTAAGTTCTGCAATTTTATTTTTTGTCATTTTTACATATTGGGTCTGAGACATCTTTGTTAGTACCTGTACAGTTATTACTTTCTTGTTAATGGTGACATCATGTTCTGTGGTGGAGGGACAGCAAAGTGTATCCAGTAAACCCCTGTATGAACATGTAGCTTTCCATGTTTGATGACTACACCAGTAGTACATGAGTACGTCATGAGCACTACACAAGTATTTTATGAGCACTACGGGAGTCTTACATGAGCACTATGGGAGTCCTACATGAGCACTACATGCAGACTTCGTGAGCACTACACAAGCACTGCATGTGTATTTCATGAGCACTACATGAGTACTTCATAAGAACTACATGAGTACTTCATGAGTACTCAGGAGTATTCCATAAGTATTACATGAGCATACACAAGTACTTCACAAGCACTACAGGAGTGAGCACTACATGAGTACTACATGACTATTTCATAAGTAGTACACAAGCACTACGTGAGCACTGCAGGAGTACCAAATGTGCACTACATGAGTACTTCACAAACACTACAGGAGTGTTAAACACGTACTATAGGAGAGTACTGCGTTGAGTGTGCACCTGCGTGAGTGTCGGGCCAATGCTGACAGATGCCACCAGCTGGCCTCCAGACAGTCTGTGTCTGAGTGATCCCAGACTGCCCCCTGCCCAGGCCCTCATCAGACTGATGGGGGAAATGATACCTTACCATTTTAAATCACTCTTTTTTAAATGTTGAGCCTGGATGAAACCCTTCTGTGGAGCTTTTATCCGTGCATGTTTCTTCTCTGAGTCTTGCGTTGCCTGTTCTTCCACTGATGAGACTACTGTTCTCATCATCTTGAGGTTGACCAGCACTCTTTGGTTTTAAAGGAAGCACTGTTTTCATTGGCCTTGCAGATTTTTTTTTTTTTTTTTTTTTTTTTTTTTTGCTTTCTTCTGGATTTGTTTGTGGCGTTTTTGTGTAGAGTGAAGATTAAAAATGGTTTTATTTGGCCAAATTTACTCAGCCTGTACTAATACATAATTTTCATTTATAAGGGTAGTTATGAGGTTGTTTGTAAATGTATGTAAAATTAAAATGAAAAATACTTAATTGCAAATGCTTTGTGCTTTCTGGCTAGGCATGTTCGGATCCACACTGGAGAAAAGCCATACAAATGTGATGAATGCGGGAAGAGCTTTACTGTTAAGTCCACCCTAGACTGCCATGTGAAGACGCACACAGGTAAGGGTGAGCACCTGCATCCTATATACGGGACTTACGATGGCTTTATATTTGTTCCTGTGTATCTTGCCCACAGAGATACTTTCAAAATCATAGAAAGCTTAAAAATCATGAATCATGAAGAAGTGGGTGTAGAAGGATTTTTGATTCCTGACCTGGGGAATACGATCCAGTTAACGCTGGAAATGGAGCTGGGTCTCAATGCCAGGTTATAGCTTGTCTTCTATTCTTATTCAGACTTGAACACTTCTGTTAAGAAAATTGCTTCTTAGTCTCATTTAGGCCAAAAGAGATTTGGTTTGTTGAGATTTTACAAGATCTGATGATTGAGCAAATCTGATTGCAGTTATCGGGTAATAATTCTTTTTATGTGGGGAAGAAAGGTCATAAAGGAAAAACAATGTACAGTTTAAGTGGCCATTTTTTTCTTCATCTCATTTGGGGAACTGAAGGTGAATTGTCCTCATGAACATGTATTGAGGCTTTGCTTCTTGGTGTGCACAGGCTGTCCCAGTGGGAAGGGGGCAGGGGTAGGCTCTGCACCTCTGCCGGGATGGAGGTCTGTCTCCACTTTGAGCCACTTCTCTGAGCCTCCAGGTATTGCATAGAAAGACGCACATAGCAAACATCAGGAAATGGTAGAGGATTATGGTCCTCGAACTGATTTATGTTCTTAATTTTTGGTTACCAGCAGAACTGACCAAAAACATACAAAGGAAGTTTTACACATTTATGTAAAGGCCTATGATTTTTTTGGTAGGTTAACAATTGGAATTAAATGGATATGTGAGTTGATGTGTCTTCTGTGGGGAGTGTCTCCTGTCGCTTTGTTAGGCACTGTGTGTTGGTCCCTCTTGGGTGATTACTGTGAGCTGCCGAAGACCAGGAGGGGCCTGTTCTGTGTCCCAGGTCTGGTGCCAGTGGTGTTCAGGATGACTCACACGTGCCAGGATGCAGGGTTCGTTCCCCTGCAGAGGAATAGAAAGAAAAGTCTCTGTGAGGGAAACAGCTTTCAAGCTGCCTCCTCCTCTCTGGGATCCTTGGGTGAGCTGTGTGGCCCCCGAGCAGGTTGGGAGAGCTGGCCTCCCTGGTCTGGGGTGAGTCCTGGCATGCCCGCCTTGGGGAATAAAAGTCAGTATTGGTTTTTGGGAGCCATAGAAGAAAACAGAAAACCAGAGGCCTTTGTCCTCCCAGAGCCTCTCCAGGGCAGAGTAGGCGGGTGACAGGGCACACAGGTCACCTCCATGGCCTTCATCACGGCCTGAACACCAGAAAAGAGCTGGAGTACCAGGGGTGAGTGTGTGACCTACACTGGTGGCTCTGGGAGCCCAGAGCTCATTCTGTAGGGTGCTGTCCCCCTGCGCAGCATGCTGGGTGCCCCCGTGCAGAAGATGGAGAGGTGCCAAGACATGCATGTGTCCCTTGTGCATAGAGGTGCGGGTGACAGCGCCGCAGAGCTGAACTGCTCGGGGACCCTTCTGTTGGCTTCTGTCCAGGTTCAGGGTGGGCAGCAGTGCTCGGGTGCTGTGACAGCGCTGGACTCACTTTGGAGCCCCCACACATACTTGGGAGTCTCTGCAGCAGCCCTCCTCCCTCGTGGGCATCCTGTGCGAGCGCGAGGCTCTTGGCAAGCCCGTGGCCCCCAGGGTCTGCGCACCCCCGCCTGCATCTGCTGGCTGCACATGGACATAGCCCCGCTGACCCCTGGCTGGATTTTCTGCAGGTCAGAAGCTCTTCAGCTGTCACGTGTGCAGCAACGCCTTCTCGACGAAGGGCAGCCTGAAAGTACACATGCGTCTGCACACAGGAGCGAAGCCTTTCAAGTGTCCCCACTGTGAGCTACGTTTCCGTACGTCAGGGCGGAGGAAGACCCACATGCAGTTCCATTACAAGCCCGACCCCAAGAAAGCCCGGAAGCCAGTGACGCGAAGCTCATCGGAAGGCCTGCAGCCCGTGAACCTGCTCAGCCCTGCCTCCACCGACCCGAATGTGTTCATCATGAACAACTCTGTCCTAACAGGACAGTTCGATCAGAACGTGCTTCCCCAGGGGCTGGTGGGCCAGGCCCTTCTTCCTGCCTCTGTGTCAGGTGAGACGGGGAGGGGCATGCAGGGTGTGGAGCCTTTCCTTGGAAGGTCTCCAGAGAGGACAGTGGAAAGGTATGATCTCACCTTTCAGATGAGTTACCCTTGTGTTCCCTGTTCCTTCTTTCACGACATCTACTTCAGAACACTTTGACAGTTGTGTCAGCTCTCTCTCACTGGTTTGCATGTGCTTTTCCTCTGCATCCTCACAGACTTAATAGTGAGGTATATTATTTATAACCCTTCATTAACATGTGTGTGGACACAGGGGCATTCTCTCCTGCTCTTGGGTGCCCTACTGATTGAAAAGTATTATATCTTAGCCATTTATGTGTATTGTGTACTTACACAGAGTGACTCTTACTGGCTGTCAGACTTCTCGTGTGGCTTTCTTTCTGTTTATGTGACCTGTGGAGTAATTAAAGCCCGAAAAATCATGATTATTAGTTGGGGCTCATCAGTATCCTCTCTTGGAGCTGAGTTTGTGGATGTGTTTAAATTGGATAGTGTTACTAATATATTTCAAAGCATTTGTTTTGTGTTGAGTTAGATAAGGTACCGTGCAGTATGAGGTAAGCATTAGTGTTTGATAACTAGGTCACATGGATGCATGTATCAAACGGGTATATAACAAGCCCTGTAGGAGAATGAGGATTTTTCCTGTTGGAGTTTTTCCAATATACAGCCCTCCACGTTGTCTCTGCAGCTGGTGGTGACTGGACAGTGTCTCTGACAGACGGGAGCCTGACCACACTGGAGGGCATACAATTACAGCTGGCCGCTAACTTAGTTGGCCCAAATGTTCAGATCTCTGGAATCGATGCCTCCAGCATTAATAACATCACGTTACAGGTACGACAGTGCTGTGTGTCCCAGGCTTGTATGTGGTCAGAGTTGTACCGAAGCATGAACTTTCTGTGACAAGTATCTCTGTTGCCTTTCAGATTGATCCAAGTATTTTGCAGCAGACATTACAGCAGGGCAACTTGCTTACGCAGCCACTGCCAGGGGAGCCCGGCTTGGCCTCACAGAACAGCTCTCTCCAGACACAGGACAGCACGGTCCCAGCCAGTGTTGTCATTCAGCCCATCCCCGGCCTGTCCTTACAGCCCACAGTGACCTCTGCCAGTCTGACCATTGGCCCGCTGTCCGAGCAGGACCCAGTGATGACCACCAGCAGCAGTGGTAAGTGAGAGCCCTTGGCGCCCATTGCTGGCCCAGCAGGAGGGAGGCCCAGCTGTTTGTGGACAGACACATGTTTGCACTTAGGACACTGTGGTACTACTTTTGTCTTTGGAAAGCTCACCAAACAAATAAATGTCCTAAGCATATATAAGCTTTCCCACTGAGAAGTGATGCTTATTCACCGTATGCACACAGATGGCTGCCCACATGCAGCTCCTGTGGTCCTGTTGGCTGCCGATTTCTTTGTAAGACTCTCTTGTCTTTCTGGATGAGGGAATCAGAGATAACTGATGTTTTATTTAGAATCTTCTTTTGAAATAATAATTTCATTAAATATTAAGTATTTTTAATATAAAAAAGGAAAAGTTACTATTTTTTTTAAACCCAGGTTTGCTTTGTTTTATAATGATGACCAGGGACACAAGACCTCTCTCAGGTGATGACATCGCAAGGCCTGGTGTCCACCTCCAGTGGCCCCCACGAGATCACCCTGACCATTAACAACTCGAGCCTGAGCCAGGTGTTGGCTCAGGCTGCCGGACCCACGGCTGCGTCGTCCTCGGGCTCTCCCCAGGAAATTACCTTGACCATCTCAGGTTAGTCACTTCATATTTTAAACCTCCTTTTCCCTGCAATTTGAGTAGATCTTATTTATGTGTATGGGTATACTATATATATTTTTTTTTCAACACTGAGTTTTACATAAAGCCAGTGCTCAATAAGTGTTTATAATATATGTGGGAAATTTAAGTTTAATGATATAGTGTCACAGTTCAAATCTAATACCAGAAATTAGAAATGAGAGTTACTCATGTCATTTCCATGTGAATCTTGTGTGGTCATGATTTGGTTGGTGAAGAGCAGGAAGCTGTAGCTTCTTTGTCCACTTTCCTGCTCCCTTAAACTGGAGATGTGTGACTGGGATAACTGGTACGAGGACATTCTGGATGCCTTCCCTCCTTCTCAGACTTCTGCATAGATTGTGTAGAGCAATGTGAAATGTGCTGAGGGGCACCGAGAAGTCTATAAACGGGTAGAAAATACCCTCTGGGAGTGTAAGTCACTTGAACCTGGCAAACTAACCCTGTTGTGTCGGCCACCAAGTTACGGCATCCCTGTTTTGGGGCTGTCACATTCATGATCGGGTGGTCCTCCTGGGTCATTGATTCTCGCAGCACGTCCTGATCTAGGTCAGCCCGCAACACATATTACAGGTGTGCCTTGCCCTCATGACTGGGACATGGTGGGATTTTCAGTTATTCTTTAGGAAGTCTGTTTTTCCATTAGCATGTATAATTATAAATGCCGTCCCTGCTAGAAAACAGTTATTGCTTCAGTGAAGTTTTGTGGACTTTTGGCAGCTTAGAAGTCATTGAAAAAGAAATTATTAAACCTTGAGTAAAAGGCAAGGATTGTGCTGAAGCTCCCCAAATTCTCTAGTACCTCTCTACTGATGCCCACTTACCTGATGTGTCAGCAGGGAGGCAAAAGTGATACCCATGTACTCTGAACTTTCATCCACAGGCCTTTCGAGGATGGCTCTGTTGTGCTGATAAAAGTACTGCAATTCTCAGTGTGCCTGTGCCCATGCCCACCGTGCACAGCTGCTTTCCTGTTTCTGTGTCTTTAGAGTGGCGTGAGGATGCCAATGGTGATGGAGCGGAGTATGGCGTCCTTCTGTCTGTCAGTGCTTTTCTAGTTGCCTTGCTTTATGCCTCACTCGACAGCAGATGTTTTTAAACTAGCTTGCCTGTGTCCAGGCTTCCCAAAGTGTTCAGGTTGGGTTTCGCTGATGTGTCAGCACATTTTCCAGGTCTCATGTTCTTGCTCGTTTCCGTACAGTTTAGTCACAGTGTGTGGTCCTCTAGCTGTGGCAGCTGGCATGCACAGGTGTAGAGAGCCCAGGGCTGGTCCCCTCCAGCGGGCGAGCGAGCCCCGAAGGTTGTGGTGCGGGGAGCCCTCACCCAGGAGAGCCCCAGCCTCACCGTTTCCCTGAGCCCCTGTGGTGGCCTGACTGCGTTAAGGGAGGTTCTGGGATCCACTCATGAAGCCTCTTTCATCCACTAAACATGTTTACCGCCCCTGGTGGGTCCACTGCGTTGGGAAGCTTTGCAACTCAGTTGAAGTTTTATTCAACAAAGTGCGTAGCTTTGAGTGTTTAAATATTGAATTAAAGTAGAACTCTTTACAAGTACTTAAAATGCTTTATGGCTTAGAAAGTGTGAACAAATACTGTCACTGAGGGACAATGTATCTTATGGTCTTTTCGTTCTTTTCTGTAAATATTATCACAAATGAAAGGGCTTTCATTTTAATGGGATGTTGTTAAATGTTTAACCTGCTTGCCAGGATATGAATGAATGTGTTACTTTCTGATATCACAATATGAATTTCCATTTAGGTCAAGATCTTATTCAGCACAATGCTCATGGAAGTAGTGAAGTGAATGGGAGCATACGCTTGTCAGCCCCCGCTGCCACTCAGTCTACAGGTGCCACCCTGACCATCAGCAGCGACCAGCTGCTCTCACAGGGTGCAACGCTAAACTCCTCAGGTACGCAGCCAGTGCCTCGGCCTCCAGAGGCCTTCTCAGGGCACACCGTCAGTGCCAGGAAGGCAGCCGTTCGCTCTTGAGGCCAGTGTACCAGCTGCATGTCTGTCTTCGGTGTCCCGTGCTGATCTCTGAGTACAGATTCTGTAGACTAGTCAGCCAGTTGGTAGCTCTTCTTACTGAAGAACATGAGCGAATAACTGTATGCAGGTACACAGGTATGTGTGTTGTTGCGTGTGAACGTTGTGAGGACTCCGTATTGAGGCTGCCCCTGCCTTCCATGCGGGGAGCTGCCAGCTTCTCACTTCGTGCCTGGCGCGAGAAGGCATCTCTGTGAGGTTTTGAAGTGTACACTTTGACAAATAAAAGTAAATGAGCTCCAGTAAAATAAGTTACAGACTCACAAGGACTCGTTAGCAGTTTACCATGACATGCCTGTCTGGTTTTCCTTATCTCGTATTTTATTAATTTCATAGTCCTCTTATTTTCCAACTCTATATACTAGTTTTTGAGAAAAAATTTAATTTTCAGATACATTTGTAGCTACAGGTAGGCTATTTTTTTCATGCTTATTTGAAATGCTTTCTTACGCAGTAATTCATTTCTTCAGTAAAAGACTGTAAGTGTACCGGGTGGGAAGAACTGTACTAAATCTGGGAAATGATCCTGAACAGGGCACACAGTCCCTTCGCATCTGGCTCCTAGGAACTAATGGAGCACAGACATTACTGAGGAATCTGGAAAACATTGTGAAGTATGGCCGTAATGAAGAATAAGGAGAGCAGATCATAGGTCCTAGGGGGGATGTGACCTGGAGGGGATGGCTTCTGTGAGAGTGGGGCTCTGGGAGTGTGGGGCGTGTACCCGGAGAGGTAGGGCAGTGCTGAACAGGAACCCATGAGCCAGGCAGGGTGGCATGTGGTAAGGCTCAATGGGACATCCCCAGGGGCCATGGGCCATTCAGCACATAAGAGGAACTTTTGTCCCCCCCTCTTGTCCACAAAAGCACACACTGATGCCTGAGTGGTTAAAGACTTTGTCTGAATCCCGTATTGGCAGATCCAAACTCTGGATTTCTGGCCTATGATGTTTCGATTGTGTCTCTGCTGTCAGTGTTTTTGTGGGCCAGCATGAGTGGTTGTCGTGCTCTGGTGTGGGCTCTGTTCTGGAAGGTTAGCAGTTCACGCTCTCCCCGGCTGCTTCCCTGGGGAGTGCGCTGGCTGTCAGTGGTGGGATCCTGCGTCTCCCTGAAAGCTCTACTTGACCTCTTTACTGCATCCTTGGCAGATGGATGGAAAGACTTGTAGGGTTTAGGTGTTTTAATTTAAAGGGAGTGGTTTTTGTGCTATTTTGGTGATCCTGGATGTTTGCTGGTGCAGCAGATGGTGTCATTTATAGTGGGAGTTGTTGTGAATGGGGATGGAGAAGTGGATGAAATGAGGACATGGGCACCCTGAGGGCTTTACACTGCCATCCTCTTGTTGGTTGGACACAAGGTGGCTCACCTCCACACCTGGCGATGGAGTTTCACATTGCTGGGGAGTCTGCACATAGCGGCGCTTGTGTCAGGCTGCTCTGTGGGACACCTGGGTGGCTCAGGGTGTGATCCTGGGGTCCTGGGATAGAGACACATCAGGCTCCCCGCAGGGAGCCTGCTTCTCCCTCTGCCTGTGTCTCTGCCTCTCTCTCTGTGCCTTATGAATAAATATTTAAAAAAAGAAAAGGCTGAAAAAAAAATAAAATAAAAAAAGAAAAGGCTGCTCTGTATGATGCACTGATGTTTCTTAAGAACAACACACGTTCCCATTTTTCCTGATTTAATTTTTTTCTCTCCTTTAGACTTACTGTCTTAGAGACAACCAAGTGTATGTCTTCCCTTTAGTGTAACTTGGTGCTTTATTTAACATTTTTTTATTTAATATTTTTTTCTAAAGAATTTAGTGAAATAGAAGTTGAGTTCATAATTAAAAATGTTTAATGACATAATATCAGGTATTATATATACATGGTTAATGTTCTGTGAGCAGGTCAGTGGTATTGTGTCCTCAGGTACCTTTGGCATCTTTGAATTAATCTGGATATGGGAACAGAGTCTTCATATGTTGCACTACTCAGTCATGGATAGGAGGCAGATAATTGTCAAGGTTTGTGTGTTCCATTGGTACTAGTTATAATGACGGAGCTGACCCCATGGGTATAACATGCACCCAAGATGCATACAACCAAGAGGTTGCATCTTAAAAAGGCAGTGTTTTCCTGAGCGTCAGAGTCACTCCCAGGCCTGGCTTCAAGCCACGCCACGTAAAAATCGAAACTGAACTGAACTTGCAATTGATTACACGTGCCTTTTCTTAGAAACACAATAAAATAAAAACTCCCAATGTTCTCAGGTGCCACATAAAGTCACATAAAGTGGCGCTTGAGATCAGAGCACAACGAAGGTGCACGTGGCTGCTGTCATCTGGAGCTGTCTCCAGATGTGGTTGAGGTGTATCAGCCTCTGTGACTGCTCTGGCCCTTTGCATCTCCATGGAAGCCCTGAAAACTCAGGTGTTACCTTTTAGGTTTAGAAGTAAATGGAAGTACCGCAGACTTCCACGTGCAGGAGAGAAGCATGAGTGTGTGTTCCACTGTCGGACACGGGGTAAGGCCACCCCCAGTCTGACCCTGACAGCATCCACCACAAGATCGGACACATGTGGCTTCTCAGGACCTGGTCAGATGTGATGTGAGTGCTCTTCAGTGGCAGAAGGAGTCACTAACAGATGCTTGACAATTTAGCACAGGAATTTATCTCAAATTGGTGTTATCTTTTTGTTCTTACCTTTGTCCATTTGTTAATAGAATTTTGATGAATAAGTTATGTTTTCAGTGAAAAAAAAAAAAAACAACCCACAATTCTTTATTTCCTTCCTATGTAAGGTTATTTTACCCTTTGTTTCTTCTAGATTTAAGTATCATCAGTTACTTACTTCCCAGCAGCTCAGAGGTCTTAACATTTCCCACGTGGGGGTACATTTTATAATGAAGGAGGACATTCTCCTCACTTTCTCCTTGGGGATGAATGCCCAGGCAATGTTTCTCCCTGTTCCTGAGGCTTCCTCCCCTACCTTTATCCTAAGGAAAAACTGATCTCACATCCTTTAAACTGTTTATGAAACTTTCCAAAATTATCATATTAAGTTTTCTCAGAAGCTGTGAAAACTATTCCCAACAAATATTTAAGGTAGTGCTGAGTTTGATGACCATAAGGGATTTACTCATCCTTAAGAATAATAAGAAGACTTAATAAGAGATGACTTATTTTGAGTTAGAAGCATAAACCAAAGTAGGACTTAGATTTCTCTGATGTGGCCTCTGGAGGACTCATAGGTTCAGAGCCAGTAAATGAGGACGGAAAGTGAGAATTTTATAGTCTGTGCTCAAGTATTCAGCCTTAATTTCCAGGTTGAGAGTATTTAGTTTGAATTAAAACTGTGGTTTCTAGAGCTTTAAGTAAATATTTTTCTATAATTAAGAATCATATCTTGAACAAATGGAATTATAGCTTTTAATTAGTTATTCAGTTGCATGCTTAAGAAAACTTTGTTCTTTCCTATTCACATCACCTGTTTTGGGACTATTTGAGGATAGAAGCTCTACTTGAACTGCTGTCATCCTCTTGGTGGCAAATGTCTTGAATGGGGAGCATGGTGGAACATTGATTCATACACTTTTGGCGTCGAGGTGTGAACCCAGCATGGGCTGAGGTTAGCGTTCCCACTGACCTTTGTGTCAGGAGCATGCAGGCTTCTGTTTTCTCTTCGGATTTCTTGTGCTATATAGTCCTGACCCCCTGCTGCATTGATGATCATCAGGGAGTCGGATGATCTGGTGGGGAGCAGAGGAGAGGCCTCATCCCTTTATCTCAGGAGTTTGGGGGAGGTTTGAGGTCCTGGCCATCTGAGTAGCACTCAACCCTGTTAGCGCTTGTTTTTTCTCCTTGTAGGGATAATTCTGGTGAGCCTTTCAGCAGGTGCTTCTCTCCACTGGGCCCTTTGACGGCCCCTCCCTGATTTCCCTAGTGTTGGTGATTGAACATCCATCCACGTAGCTGGTCATCATTCTCAGGATTCTTCTTTTTAATCTCCATCTGCTCACGTTAAAACCGTCCCTGCATGCTAGTCTGCAAGAGCGAGTCAGGGTGTGTGGAGGTGGCGTCAGGAGAACCCGAGGCCGACCATGTACTGGTAACTGGAGTGCTTAGAACATACACCCTCCACAAATCCACACTCCTCCGGTCCTAGCAGTCCTAGCAGTCCACTCTGCGCAGAGGCTCAGCAAGGTGGGAGGGGTCTGACGAGGTGGTCTATGGAGCCCCGGTGGCTGCTACAGAGCAGAGACTCCTAGCCTCCTAATGGTTATACTGCTTTTGAAGGTTCCAGGTCTGTGCAGCACAGTGTGGGACTCCAAGAGTGTGGATCTATGGAGGCATTGTATTTGGAGGACTCCAGTTACAAGTAAGTAACCTAGTTTCCCTGTTGGCCCCTGACTCCGTGCAGAGGCTCTGGGCTAATGTGGCCCGAGTCACAGCAGAGTATCCACGGGAGTCTCTTTTTGTTTTGTTTTTAAACCTAATTAGGAAATAGAGTTTTCACCTTTTACTTTGGTTAACCATCTTGGGGTCTGTAGCACCCAGCCCAGCGGCTGACACAGTGGGTGATAAGTCACGTTTGTTAGATGAATGGAAGGATAGATGGTGAGAAGTGTATGCGTGTGTGTGTGTGTGTGTACACGCATGTGCATGTGTGTTATGCTTACAAGTAAAACCTCAAAAACCTGTTTTCTGTTGGTGCCTGCCACAGGACTTTGAGAATCCCGTGCTCAGCCCATCTCACTGGCTGCATGAGTTTCTGTTTTGTAGAAGAAAAGGCCTTTCTTTGCCTGACTCTGTCCCAGATAGCTTCCTTTCTCTTATCATTAGATATCAGGGCAAAATACTATAATGTGTTGTTGTCTTTTCCAAAGAGAAATAGGATGTCATGGCAGGATAAGTTAGTATTTAAAGGGTTGAATGAGGTTTATTTTAGAATAAGCAGACATGAGGAGGGTAAGGGGGCCTTAGCAGATATGGTGCAGTGTAGGCTGTGGAGCTGATTGGTGCTCAGTGGGTCCCATTTGGTTCCTCTCTGGTCCTAGATGGGACAGTGTCCTGGAAATCGTTGGCAGTTTCCTTCTGCTGTAGATGTAGTGACTAGGACTGTAGGGTCACATTTTTACTCTTTTACCGTTTTTTTCTTGATATTATACTTAAGCAGAGTGTATTTACGCATAAAGATATTCAGAAACTGTAGAAGCCTTGCCATAAAATTGGAATGAAAGATTCTATGATTATCTTGATGTAACTTCAAAAGCTTAGGTAAACATAAATGCTGACTATGACAGATTAGTTCCTTTATAGAAACCATTCTTCCCATCCAGTTAAAGTTGGACTTACCTAGCTTTGCTATTAATATACTTGTTCTTCCTCTTTTGTAGAACTTAATGCTACCACTGGCAGCCTTCCTTCGACCACACCAATGTCTCCATCTGCCATATCTGCTCAGAACCTGGTCATGTCTTCATCAGGAGTGGGAGGAGATGCCAGTGTCACGCTGACTCTGGCCGATACTCAGGGCTTGCTCTCCGGAGGACTGGACACGGTCACGCTCAACATTGCTTCTCAGGTAGAGCACTGCCCTTCCCTTCATGGGAGGATTGTGGCACACTTTAATTTCTTCTTTTCTATGTATGTATATGCTGAATGGTTTTTTTTTTTTTTTTTTTTCAAATTTGAAGTGGTTTGCAACATGTGGGTGGCTCAGTCGTGAAGTGTCTGCCTTTGGCTCAGGTCTTAATCCTGGGGTCCTGGGATGGAGCCCTGCATTAGGCTCCCTGCTTAGTGGGGAGTCTGCTTCTCCCTTTGACCCTCCCCCTGCTTGTGCTCACTCGCTCTCTATCAAATAAGTAAAATAAGAGAAAATTGAAGTGTTTTTTTTTTTTTCAGATTAAAATATGTGTAATATGTTAAATGCAAAAAGAAGAGAACAGGAAAGTTCAGATAAGACCGAAAACTATATTTAAAAATTCACTAGCCAAATGGAATTATGATTGACCTCTTAGTATATATATCTTTCCAAACCTTCATATGCAGGGGCACACATACATGTTTTAACATTTCTACAGAAACGAGCTCTTGTATGCATCACGTAGTATGAACTCCCTCTTGCTACACTGTGTGTACCTTCCCCGCCAGTGATTTAATTTTTTAAGATTTTTGTTTTAGCCATTTTAGAAAAAGAGAGTGTGTGTGCACACTCGTGAGCAGGGTGGGGCGAAAAGGGGAGATGCCGAGGGAGAGGGACATGTAGGCCTGACACTATGACCCCAAGATTGTGACCTGACCTGAACTGCAGAGCCAGATGCTTCAGGGAATGAGCCACCCATCAAAGATTTTAGCAATGCAAACATGTTTTAATGGCTGTTCAGCATTTTGTTTCAGGAGTTTGTTGAAGGGCAGGGTGCTCAGGGTTTCAGTAGTGAGGAAATTCTCAGGCTTTCAGTGACCTATGGTCTCAGGGCAGAGCCTGCAGGTGGGTGTGCTGGGTCGGAGGGTGTGCATTCTGAGTAAGGCATTGAGCTGAGACTCCGGGGCAGCTTTCATCGTTTAAGATCTATTGCAACAATCGTGTCTGGTCGTTCCCCTTTCTCTCTGCCTGTCCCTGCTTTGAGAACAGCAGAATGTGCCACAGGATCAGAGCACAGAATACATTCTGTGACACGCTCGTTCCACTCAGGCTCGCTGCTCAGTCACACAGCCACACAGCGGCTGTTTTGATTCTGGATTCCAGTCCTTTCCATGTGTAAAATAGGGACCCTTCCCTGGCCCACCCCAGGGCCGGCATGGAGCCAGTTGAGCCGATCTCAGTTGGTCTGTACCAGCACAGATCATCTTGCTCCCGAACTGCCCTTGTGCTGCTGGCAGAAGCCCATCTGGGGCTCTGGGGGGAGTCGGCCCTCCCACAGGACACACAGCATGCAGCAGGGGAGGGTGGCTTCCATGTGGCGGCTGCATCTGTGCCCCTGGCCAGGTCCTGCTGTGCTGTCCTCACGCACCTGCCTTTCTGCCACTGAAGGAGAGAAGTGTCTCACTGAGTTCTTTACGTATTTTAACATTTACTTGTTCTCATGTGTTACTCCATTCCTGTTGTCCTGTTGTCAGGATGTTATCACCCTTCTAAATATTAACAGTTAGTATTATATCTTAAAATTATAGTTGGAACAGGAGGAGCCAACCTAAGAGGTAAATGATGTATTTTCTTTCTCAAGGCAGGATGCAGGGAGTTTGATTGATTCTTGATGCATTGCTGTGCGTCCTCACTTCCTACCTGTGATTCTAGTATCGATGATGGTCATACATAACCTTATATTCCAGTTGCCGGGCAACTGTGAGGACGTGGCTCCTGCCCTGTCGCGTATATTCGTTGGCAGTCAGGGCCATGGCTGGTTTCTCACGGTACAGTTTTAACTATAGTAGTTACAGAAGTAGTTGTGAGGTAAAAATCATTTAAAATACAACTTTAATGCTTGGAATAACTTTGCAGAGTGGGGTCAGGATTGATCAGAAAAAGCCAGAGAGGCATTTATTTCTATGGTTACGAGTTTATTTTCTGTTTGTTAAATTATATCACTTTGAGAATTTTTTTTTAAGATTTTATTTACTTATTTGAAAGTATTGGAAAGAGAGCACAAGCAGGGGGAGTGGGAGAGGGAGAAGTTCCCCGTGGAGCAGGGAGCCCGATTCAGGATCAGATCCCAGGACCCAGGGATCATGACCTGAGCCCAAGACAGATGCTTAACTGACTGAGCCACCCAGGCGTCCCCAAGAATTATTATTATAATTGCAGTGAAGTTCAATGAGGAGTTCTTAGTTATTCTAGGTTACATTTTTAAATAATGCAAGTATTTTCTGAGGATGTCTTTGCTCGTGCGCAGGGTGGCTGTTGGGCCCCCGGTCCTGCTCCCAGGCTGGCTCCCTGAAGCCTCTCACACAGTGCAGGGATTGGGGCCAAGGAGGGTGTTGCTGCCTTGAGAAGTTTCTGTACCGGGCATCAGATTAAAGTGTTGGATATGACAATGTTAGTGCTAGGACAAAGTAAGGCTGCCTATGCAGAGTGAATGCACAGGTGGGGATGGGATCTGGCCTGGTGCCAGAATTAATAAAAAGCACGTGTGTATGTGCTACTCCTCTGGCTAAAACCCTCTGTGGTCCCTGCTACGTTAGCACCACATCCACGTTTCCGTAGTGGCTTAGAGGAGTCTGTGCTGTATACGCAACAGTCCCTGCCCCTTTCTCCTGGCTCACCCCCAGCATAGATCGCAGGCCGCACCAGTTCCATGTACCAGGCCGTGGCAGACCGCGGTGGGGTGTGCTGCAGGTCAGCTCTCCCCTCTCTCCTGCCCCAGCCCTGCTGTCTGGGCCAGCTGGGTCAGAGAGTAACAGCAAAGGGTGGCACTGAGGTGTGCCCGAGGTCCGGGGGCACCGTTGGCTGCAGATGAGGTGTGGCCGGTGTCGGGAGCACCATTGCTGCAGATGAAGTGTGCCCAAGGTCGGGGGGCACCGTTGCTGCAGATGAGGTGTGCCCAAGGTTGGGGGGCACTGTTGCTGCAGATGAGGTGTGGCTGGGGTCGGGGGGCACCATTGCTACAGATGAGGTGTGCCCAAGGTCGGGAGCACCATTGCTGCAGATGAACAGCGGCTTCCTCCTGCATGTCTGTGGGCTACCTCACTGATACATAATCTCTGCTTAACTTTTCAAAAATTATCAGTTAAAAAAATTAAACCCAAATTGATTAATTAGCACACATTGTATAAAACAATAGTATAAAAAATCTGCAATTGAAATTCTGTAGGTTCATTTGAATCTCTTCTGTTAGCTGCTGGACTTTAATTGGACTCACAATGACTTCATACCCTGAAAAGTTAAAAAAACCATATCAACCCTCTCTTAGCTTTATGAGGGCTGTTTTTCTAAACATAGTGATTTATTGCACAAAAGAACCATCATTTTATTGTCAAAAGGTCAATGAACATATATGGAAATGTTTATAAATATGTAAACTGTTAGGATTGTTCATGATCATAAAAGTGTGAGCTGGAAATCCAAGGCAGTTATGAGAAATGAACTGTTCTAGAAATGGTTGTTCATTACAGGCAAGAGTCAATCACTAAGAGGCAAACATCCATGGTTTACCAGTAGTCCCTTCAAACCATTCACAACATGTGCTTCTTGAATTCAGTGAGGAAGTGAAGTGAGAACAATGTGCAGATGCGTCAGCCAATCCCCCGTGTCTGCACGTGGAAAGTCAGGCCCTCCCTGGGAAACTGCAGAGACGTGAACTGTAGATGTTAAAAACACATGAAAGTACTATCCATTTATTGTGTATCATTTCTCTTTTTCTTTTTTCTTTTTTTTTTTTTTTTTGTTTATAAGGTCCATGAGAGAAGAGGGTGGGAAGAACAAAAAGAGGTGGTCTAATTTTTTTTTAAAAAAGGTAACTTTGTAGTATCTTTACTAGGGAAATTATTAAAAGAAAAATTGATGAATTGTAGAGATTTCTTTTTCAACTACAAACTTGAAATGAGTTTTTCTTTCCAAATTTTGGACTGTTGGTGGCAGGGGTGGGAATCAGGCTACTAAATGTGAGAATTTTATAAGGAAATGCATGCACTTAAAAATCTATTCAAGAAAGCAAAGTGATTTTTCAGTTCTTGTTCTGAAAACAAAAAGAAGTAACCGACTCATCCTTGAAGCACATTCTATTTTATATGAATTCTTGTAGGTTTGTTGTTTTTTTCTGACTTTATTGACCTGGTACAAAACATTTAAAACTTACTAGTTAGGCATGTAAATGTGGTTTTTTTTTGGTCTCAATAAGACATCAGCATGTGACCATGGCAGCTGTGATTAAAGACGCTCCGTGTGAAAAGCGGGCGGTTCTGCAGTCACTGTCATGTCTGTAGTGACTGGAGGTGTCCTGGCCCCAGCTTCCAAAGCCTTCATGCTGCCTTCCTGTGGTGCCCGGTGCAGGCTCGCTGGTTCTCAGTGTCTGGATGTTCTCACAGAGGCACAGTGTGAATTTGAGTTCAGTCGGAGTTGTCTGGGGCATGGAAATGATGAGTTGCTGAGAGCAGATCCTGGCGAGATTAGAACATGGGCACAGTGAGTGAGGTCAACTTTACAGGGATGCGGTAGGGAATCAAGTCGGCTGTCATGCCGAGCCTCGTCCATCTGGATGGGAGCCCCTGGTGATGTTTTCTCAGCATTTCCCAAACCAGGTTGCACATCACAATACCCAGGTTCCTCCTGCAAGGTTGGTTCAGCAGCGGTGGGTGCGGCTGGAATCTGCTAGTGCTTGCCCGCCTTCGGTGATTCTGGCAGCTGGTCATTGGGGCCTGTTTTACTCTGCCAGGTCTCAGAGAATTCCTGCAGCTCCCATCTCAGTGTAAACCAAATACAGCAAAGAGGTAAATAACAGTGCAAGTAATAACACGAACCGAAAATAAAGGACTTTGAGATTCAGGTCACCACTTCTGTGAGTGTGGCTAATTGTTGAGCATTTATTTTACTAGACACTTGATTTTTAAATCAGGTGTATGTGTGAAGAATACTTAATGTTAGCAATTGAAACACCAATAATAAGCCAGTAGATTACATTATATTGGGAGTTTTTAAAATTAAACTTTTTATTTGAGATAATTATTGATTTACAGTGAGTTTTAAGAAATGATGCAGACAGATCTTGGGTACCCTTTACCCAGCTTCCCCAGGTGGTAGCATCTTGCAAAACTGTAGATACAATATCACAACCAGGTATTGTCGTAGTTATAGTCAAGACCCAGAACATTCCATCCCTCGAGGTCCCTCATGTTACTACTTACTGCCCCTTCCCCTGACAGTTGCTAATCTATTCCTTACTTCTGTAACTTGTCTTTTCCTCCAATAAACCTGCGTAAGCTCACAGTCTCAGAGGTCTTAGCTTTCCTTTGAGAACATGTAAGTGTATTAAGCCAACACTGGTTCCTACATGCACCAGGATTTCTGGCCAGCAGCCAGGCATATTTGTCTGATTAATTAGAAAGTGCAAATTTATTATTTTTGATTGGCACAATTTTCCAAAGTTGTGTAGTCTGGTAAGAGTGGTGGCAAAAGCAAGAGTGCAGAAGAGTGCAGAAGAGTACAGTGACTGGTGTTTGAAGGTAGTGATATGCAGCTAACTCCCCTATGTGAGGGGATGGCAGACATGAAGCTTTGTTGATATAGATAGGAACTTGCCCAAAGTCTGTGTAAAAAAATTTAAGGAGATACCTTAAAATATCACTTCACTTTTTTTAAAACTGCCTATAAAAAGCAGAGAATTCAAATCAATTTAAGAAGCTCTTTTACTCGGGACGCCTGGGTGGCTCAGCGGTTGAGCGTCTGCTCAGGGCCTGATCCCAGGATTCGGGATCGAGTCCTGCATCAGGCTTCCTGTGTGGAGCCTGCTTCTCCCTCTGCCTGTGTCTCTGCTTCTCTCTCTTTGTGTATCTCATGAATAAATAAATCTTAAAAAAAAAAAAAGGCTCTTTTTCTCTAGAATCCACGATACTGTCCTTGTAAATGTATATTGTGCCCTGTGTTCCATCCCATGGCCTCTTTGTCCCTGTCTGTGTACCACAGTATCTTTCCCATGAGAAGTGGACCTGAAATTCTTTAAATACCTCTAAGTCCTGCACCCCTTCCAGGCTTATATGCCCCATCGAGCTCAGCATGCCCCGAAGACACGAGGAACACCCGCTCTCTCAGCCAGGGGCACCAGTGACATGGGCCATGTGCCTTACTTATGACCAAAGCATCCTTGCTGTCCTTGCCTCCCTACCTGTGCGTTGATGTTGGCCCTTCACATCTTTGTGTTTCACGTGCGTGTTCTGATCACGTGTAAAGTGCGCTGGCTTGCAGTGCACATTGTATGTGTACTGAGTTTGTGTGGCTTGGCATTTGAGGCCTGTGGTCGGCCCGGCTGTCCCTGTGTGCATGCCCCTGGCCCACCCCGCACTCTTTCATTCTCCCTTTTTGTCTCAGATTCATGGTCAGTAGTGAGAGGTAGGCTGGAGTGGGAGAAAGACTCAAAGTACTTTGTATGCATAGCAAAACTGAGTGTGCGTTTTTGAACAAGTAAGTGTTCCTTGTATGTACATTTACAACTTTGTTGAGATATACTGTACCTACCATAGTGGTCACCCGTTTATTGAAAGTATACAATTTAACGGTCTTTAGTCTATTTACAGAGCTGTGCACCCGTGAGCACATCTAGTTTTGGAACATTTCCTCACCCTTAAAGGACACGTGGCACCGTGAGTGGTTAGTGGTCCGTCCCTCAGCCCCAGGCCCCTGACAGCCACCCTGTGTCTGTAGACCTGCCTGTCCTGAGCATTTCACATCCGTGGAAGCCCACAGCATGTGGTCTGTGGCCAGCCCGCCTCACTTGGCATCCTGTCGTTGAGCTCGTCCGTGCTGTGGCTCGTGCCGTACACCAGTGCTTCCTTCAACTGAATAGTGTTCCGCCACACAGACGTGCCTCACTTTGCACATCCCTCACCAGCTAATGGATATTTGGGTTGTTTCCCCCTCTGCAGCCACTGTGAAGAGCGCGAGCGTTGGAGGGGATATTATTTTTGAGCATTTTCATGTGTCTGGGTTTCATGTGTCTGGAGCAGGTGCCTGGGGATGCCATGCTGGGTCACGGTGTGCTTCTGTGGTGAACTTCCCTGAGGACCTGCCCACTGTCCACAGTAACTGCACCACAAGAGATACCCCTGAGGTTACCACTGGGTTTGATAACGTTACGCCTTCTAAAGCAGTCTGTCTTTGCAGGGCCAGCAGTTCCCAGCCTTACTCACCGACCCCTCGCTTTCAGGCCAGGGGGGAGCAGGTTCGCCGCAGGTCATCTTGGTGAGCCACACTCCACAGCCCTCCACTGCTGCGTGTGAGGAAATCACCTACCAGGTATGCTGTGCACGTGCATTCACACTCGTTTGTGGGCTTAGGGAACATGGGTTGAGGGAGGGCTCAGGGAGCTGGGGACCACCCCTGGAGGGCATCTCTGGCCCAGTGGGGGTGAAGAGTAGGTGTTGAGCTGCACAGGGCCTGGGGACAGCCCGTGTCCAATGGTGGATACTGACTGACAGTCCACAGTTTGTGGTTTGCTGCGATGAGGTTTTCATGCCACAAAATAAGATATAGAAACCAGTCACGTGTGAGGCTAGTTTTAAAGTTACTAGTGTCTCCTTCTGTTTGCCTGCTGATCAGACTTCACATGGCGTTTGATTTGCGTTTAGTTCTTTTTGAGGGTTTTCTTTTAATACCTCTGCTGATTCTTCTAGGTCTGGTTGTACATTTTTCATATACACGCATATGTGTGTGTGTGGCCTGTTTGTCATTTGACTACCTGTTAATATAGAAGAGTCTAAAAACTTCTTCCTTAAAGCTTTTCGGAGTTAGCGGTAAATTACAGATAATAAATAGTTACTGACTCTGAGCGGTGCTATGTTCTGTGCAGTTTGAGCAAATGAGTTTCAGGGAAATTACTCACTGGTCTTTCCATGGGATGAGGCCTCCTTCTTTATAAAGAAATGAGATCAGTACAGGCAGTCTCCTCCAGCCGAAGCTCATCCAGCGGAAGGTCAGTTGTGTCACTTTAGCACACTTGGCTCAGGGACCCTCAGCCCCGGCAGTGCCTAGAGGACTCGGAGCAAGCTGGTGGACTTGTGGGCACAGCAGAGGGACACGGGCACCGAGCGTTCACAGCGTTTCATCAGGGCAGCTGCTGGGGGCGCTGCGAGCACCCCTGAAGAGCCCTAGCCCCAGCCTCCGGCTTTAGCCCATGCGCCTGGCTGTGTGTTGCCTGCTTTAATCACGCGGTTTACACCTGCAGTTATTGAGCAGCCTGATGCATTTGTTCCTGTGCCTTTCAGACTTTCTTTTGACTCACAAGAAATATATTTTACATGCTGAACTGAACACATAGTTTCATGTGTTTGTTGTTTCTTGGCTTTGTACATACAGACCCTCACATGTAGACACACTATACCTGACACAAGCATCACAGAATAATACCCACTTCATGGCATATGACATGACTGCATCATTTTTGTGCTTCTGAGCTTTTTGGTTTTATTCCTTTTTTTATTAAATTCCTTTTTTTATTATTATAGCATATATTAATGATCTTAGAGCACTTTGTAGAAATCTTTTATTAAATATTCTTAAGTTTTATCCCTTTCTATATATCATAAAATTATGAGAAAGTACTTCATAAACTAGGTTAAAAATGTTGACAAATCCCATCAATTTTCATTATAACTAATTATAATTTTCTTTCATTAAGTTATCATGTACAAGTTTTTATCTGCAAAACTAGACTCCTATTTGTAAAAGCTCAGTCACAAACTCCTGCTTTATTTGTTTTCAGGGTGTTAATGGCATCCCATTAAAATGATTTGAAAATGTAATTGGTTGTGATTCAAAGTTTGGGGAAATGCTTTCATGCAATCAAGAAGTAACACACCTTCTGCTAAGTATGATTTATACCGCAGTTTGTTGAGAAACGATCTTCATCCATAGCAGTAGCATTTTGGGGGTCATGTCCTTTACTTTTGTCTAAGCTAACCTACTACTACTACCCACCGCACTTAGTGCATGCTGTGAGCCGGGTATCGCTCTCAGCACCCGGTATCCATCAGCTCCTGGAGCCCCACCCCAGCCCCAACAGGGAGGTGGTGTCAGCAATGACTGTTTATCAGATGAGGACACAGGGCTGGAGCAGCCAGGATAGTAATGCCAGAGCCGGGTCTGCCCATCTGATCCGAGGCCATCGCCCCCACCCTGCTGGCCTTTCCTGGGATGAAAGTGCCATGGGCCGGGTGCACCTGCATGGTGTGTCTCTGTCATCTTGTCATTTGTCCCTTTGCAAACCGCAGCCACTGAGTAAAGTCCGGGCTTTCCAACCTGCTGCAGGTAACTGATGTATCGGCCAGCCTGGCACCAGGGGGGCCGCCTGAGAAGGAGGGCCGGCTGCACCAGTGCTTGGAGTGCGGCCGCACGTTTGCATCGGCAGCCCTGCTGCTGCACCACAGCAAGGAGGTGCATGGCCGCGAGCGCATCCATGTGTGTCCTGTGTGCAGGAAGGCCTTCAAGCGTGCCACGCACCTCAAGGTAAGCTCTGCTCTGGCCTGGCAGTGGGCTCCAGGGTTAGAGACCTTCGCTGGAGGGTGTATGATCTGGTAGAAGTCCTGAGTCATGCTCACAGAAGGGAAAGAGTAACAGATTTTTCTGTGGTTTGGAGGAGGTCAGTGAGATTTTAGTTTTAACAGGTCTGCTGGGTGTACAGGTGAGCAGTTATGTTTATGTGCGGTTCTGACGTGTGTCTCATGTGACTTACACCCTCAGAGTGGCAGATGGTGAAAATACCTACGGGCCAGGCTGGGGGGAAGCAGGAATGCCCCTTGCCCTGGGGCCCACACTTGGCAGGACTTCCCACAGGGGCCTGGGGACACCTCACCAGCTGGGTCAGCACCCCCTTGAGACAGGGTACAGAGGTCTGCATGCTGTGAGAGTGGCCAGATGAACTCCGGGACGTGCACACAGTAGGGAGGGGGAAGAGGAAGGGCCTGGGAAGTGAGTTCCAGGGTGGTCAGGTGGCCTGCTTGGTGGAGGCGGCCCCAAGGCTCCCCAGCCAGTGCGCCTTGTAACCAAAATTGTCATCATCTGACCATTAAGTAGCCCATGATGGATCCCAGCCTTCCTGTGCAACAGCACCTAGACTTCTGCCCTCCTGATGTGCAGCCAGTATCTTTACCTCCCCTCTTTCTCTGCCATGTTTTCTGGAAAGAGGATGCCTTGTTTGTTTTCTAAACAAACTGAAGCAAAATCTTGCAAAGGGAGATGTGTGTGTGGCTTCCCCTGCCTGGTCCCTGTCTGAATCTGACCCTAATACTTAGAATCTCTGTGATGTTGGCTGGGTCACGTAACCTGCACAGCTTCAATTTTATAATTTGTAAAATGAAGATATTAATACTTAGATTTTATGGTTATTTTGAGGAATATAAAGTGCTTAGCACAATGCTTCCCTCACAGTGGAGAGGGCTGAGATGATAGCTATGATAATACTAATAGAGCATGAAACCTTTCAAAGAGGCTGTATGATTAAAGAAAAATTTTAAAGATGTTTTTAATAATATATATTCCTATCTGTGAGGCATAACTTTTCCACGAACATCCTTAGGTGAAGTTGTGTCAGGAGATAAGTAGGTAGTCCGTGCCACTCGCAGTGACGGGGACAAGTCCAAGGCACACGAGAGCCCTCGACGGGAAAAGCTCCCTATGGCCAGAGCTGGAAAAATTCCAGCAGGAAAATGTATTAAGTGGTGTTGCATTATAACCCACAGTACAAAATAAATACCATTGAGTCCTTCCTGATGGAAGTGTGACTGAGTGCAGAAATTAGTAAGTAGGGAAGCGAGGACCGACAGTCCGTGTGGACGCTGCCATCAGGGGCGTCCCCTCCTTAGCTGTGAGCCCCGGAGTCATCTCCTCCTCCTTGTGGAGGGTGTATGAGGGGGCCGGAGAGACCGTGGCCACCTTAGAACCACCTGGAGTGCAGCCTGCGCCCTGTGCTGGAGGTCGGTCCACACGGGTGGATGGAAATAGCGCTTTATGTGCCTCAGCCCAGAGCCCAGTCTCGTCATGAGAAGCACCCAGACAGACTCAGTTGATGACCCTCCCACCAGATAGCTGACCGTGTTCCTAAAGCCATCAAGGTCGTTGGCAATGAGGGAGGGAGCTGCACAGCTGTTACCTGGGGTTGTGAGGGGCCCCACGCCCATGACTGAATCCCTGAGGATGCTCATCCCACATGGTCCTCAGCAACCGTACTGCTCACCAGGGTTCCCATGGTCACAGCTCTGTCGCGAGTCTGTAGAGCTCTGTGAGTGTAAGTTGTAAGTATTTCTTCCTTTTGTGTGTGGTCTTCAACAGGAGCATATGCAGACGCATCAAGCTGGCCCCTCATTGAGCTCCCAGAAGCCAAGAGTGTTTAAATGTGACACCTGCGAAAAGGCGTTCGCCAAGCCAAGCCAGCTGGAGCGGCACAGCCGCATCCACACAGGTAACCGTGAGCTGTGTGCTCCCAGGTCCAGGTCTTGGCAGCAGAGGTGGGCTGGTGAGAAAACGTATTTTACGATGTCCTATGTTATTTATAAAGCCAGGGCCACAGATTCTGTTTTTTTCCCCTAATTTTTCATCAATTTATCATGTTGACTTTTCAAGTAAAAGATTTTGCAGTGTCCTTGGTGACCATGGGCAGTAGAACCATTAGGCAAGGGCTGCCGTGGCTTCTGGGGACCTTGCCTGTATCGGGGTCCCCCCCACTTCCAGATGCCAGCTCCTCCTACTGTGGGGACACCAGTCCCTCTACTCCTATTACATCTTGTCACCACCTAACCCTGCCCAGGTCTGTTGTGTTGTCAAACCAAGATCACCAAGACCTAAACTCTCACCCATCTGCCCTTGGTCCGGCTCCCTGACAACTCACTTGCACCCTCCACGCCACCCTTCAAGGCGTGCTGCAGCTCACGTGGAGACACCACTGTCCCAACCCCATTCTGTGGCTCTGTGGTGGCCTCTCACCTCAGGACCTACTGCGGGACCTGCCTCCGCTCCAGCCAGCAGGCCTGCATGTCCACAGAGCCAGCCGGAAACCGCGGGAGGTTGGCAGATGGACCCTCGGATTCCTCTCTGAGCACCTGGGGGTGGGACCCTGGTGTCCTCTGAGCCGTCACGCCCACTGCTGCACAGTGGGCTCTTGCCCTGCGGCGGCCAGCCTTGGGGACCCTCAGGGTCTCACACCTGCCTGCCTTCTGGAGTCCTGACTCTGCTCACTGAGCATCCTCTCTGCTGGGCCCCTCGGCCCCATCTCCTTTGGCCTGGCCGTCTCTGACTCACCTGCAGGTGTCAGCTTGGACTCCTTCCCCAGGAGGCCTCTGAGACCCCAGTGCCCCTGGCTGGCCCACGGGCCTCCTTGTATTGTCAGCATAGACCCAGCACCAACCAGGTGTTTGGCAAATAGCTTTTGAGTGAAAGATAATGATGCTGTACTTCTGATGTATTTACTCAGAAACATGGTTTTAAGGGATAGAGACTCCTGTTTGCCCTTAGAACAAGCTAGGCACTCCGAAGGTTTAGAGAAGCCCATAGATGGCAGATGGCTATGGGCCCTGCTTGCCGCTGGCCGGGATGCACCCCCTCTGTGTGCATGCTGCCTTCAAGCCTGCAAAGGCCCCTGCACGGCCTTTGGTCCCTGCAGCTCCCCTTCTGCCTTCAGCCACAGGACCCTCTGCTCTGAAAGTCTCCCTGTGACTCAGCCCAGGTTCTCTGACCAGTGGCCATAACCACATCTATGACATCCTTGTTCTCCAGGCACAGGAACACAGATGCAGCGCAGGCGTGCTGTTATCATGTGCTCATGCCCTGGGATTGGGGCAGGACGTGTCGGGGCCACCTTGGGGGACAGTGGGAAGCCCTCCTGTGTCTTGGCCACTGGATCGAGGGACAGACAGAGTGACAGGGGGTTTACCTGGGGAAGATGCACAGCAGGTGTCCTCGGCAACCACGTGGGGCTTCATGCGGACATGTCTGGGGAAGCCACATGGGAAAAGGGAGCAGGTGCCTGGCCAGGCGGCAGTCGTCCAGAGTCAACAGGAAAGAACCTTTTGGGCCCAGGGGGACTTGGTAGGGGACAAGTGTGTGGGGAAGTCAGAGAATGCAGGCCCGGGAGTGCGCAGCAGGGAGATGAGTGGGGCTTCTGGCAGGAGTCAAGGGGCAACATCCCTTCCATTCTTGGGCTTCTGTATCAACATCAAAGGAATTAAAATGACATTTTAGAAAATATTGGATAAGTTATACTTGTGATTAGGTAGATTTGACATTCTCATGTACTTGGTGTGGGTTTGCTTTACTGCCCAACGTGTTTTAGGAACACTATTTTAAGCATAGGGGCTCTACTTTTATTTCTGGGAGTTCCGGTAGCTGTGGATTAAGGTTTTATTCTGTGTCTCACCATGGGGCAGATTTGCTAGAAACTCATGAGTTAGCAGTGGGAGGGACGGAAGGACGGTGACCTCATGTGCGTCCCTCAGGGCTCTGGGTCTGTGCTGACACTGAGTGCCGCCCCCACCCACCCCCAGGAGAGCGGCCATTCCACTGCACGCTCTGTGAGAAAGCCTTCAACCAGAAGAGCGCCCTGCAGGTGCACATGAAGAAGCACACAGGGGAGCGGCCCTACAAGTGTGACTACTGCATCATGGGCTTCACCCAGAAGAGCAACATGAAGCTCCACATGAAGCGGGCACACAGCTACACCGGTAAGCTGTGCGCCGTGCAGCTGGGGGTCAGGCCTTCAGGTGGTCGTGGCGGTGGAGCAAGTGCTAGGAGTGGGCTGTGGCGCAGCCCCTCCGCAGGGTTTTGGGACAAGGGCTGGCTCTGGGTGACGGTGGAGCTGGTGCAACCCAACGCTCAGAGGGCAGGTACGGCACCCACTCAGCACTGTTGCTGGCCGAGCGGGGTTCCCACATCCCACCCAACATCTTGGGATGCCGCTGTCCATGTGGGAAAGGGCAGGGGAGGCCCCTCGCCTCATCCAGCCGGACTGGGTCACAGGTGGAGCTGCTGCTGTATGCATGACTCCCTAGTTTTTGGGACAGTGTGGTCTGCAAGTGACGTGAGCCTGGGAGGGATTGGTGGTGGTGGTGGTGGTTCTCATGGGAGGGGTTTTGTGTGTGTTGTCTGGCTGTCACTCTTAATTAATCGCTTATCGCTGACCTCGTGTTGCTCTAAGCAGGAGTTCCCCGCCACAAGGGCAGCGTCTATTCATGTTCAAAAAGCAGGAATTGCTACCGACACTATTAACCTGCATCTCAAGTTATTCTTTTTCCTTGGGGATGGAAAGCAAATCAATTTAGAAATTTTTGGTTGCGATTTAGATTGTCTTTATTTAAACGTGAATACCCATGTGCTGCTGAGTGTTTGAGACTCCGCCTGATGTTTGTCTGTCTGTGCTGCAGGAAATCTGCAGGAGCCCGTGGTGCAGCAGGAGCACGGAGCTGAGGAGCTGAGCCGGACCCTCCACCTGGAGGAGGTGGTGCAGGAGTCCGCCAGCGAGTGGCAAGCGCTGGCCAATGTGTTCTGACGCGGCCCATCCTGCCCTCAAGGCTGTTTCTGAAATTAGATGTTGTGAAGAATGGAGCGCTCGGAATTTCTGTCTTGAAGCTTCAAGTGTTAAAATGTTAACCACACTAGTTTTTTAGCTATAAAAGTATCTAAAGAATCATTGTCTTTCAGAGACTGATAGGAAAGAACTGGGAGCAGTGTGAACACGTATTGTCACTTGTCTACAAATCATTGAACTCAGGTACTACAGCAGTCCTACCGTCTCCTTGGTGGCCAGTACATCTAGTTACAAAAGAAATAACTGGATCTTACTATCACTATAGTGTGACCTCTTTGTATTAGCAAAGACCAACATTAACATGGAAAAAGTAAGGTAGGTTCTCCTTCATGCTTTCTGTTCTAAGAAGCATAGCTTATAAAACAAACATAAAATAGGTGCATGAAGTTCAGAAAAATGTTAAAACACACAGGGAAGTGTTTTCCATGTCTTTTCTCTGTGCATTTTGAAATTAGAAATTGACTCTTTCTAGTCTACCATAAGTTAATATTAATACCTGGAGAGATGGCTGGACCAGTTCTCTCTGCATTACGATTCTTGAACCATTAGCTACAAGAATGCAGCATTGGGGCATAATGGGGGGGCTGTAAACCAGACACACACGAGGATGTAACGGTCCCCATGGAATGGGGGTGGAGGGCCTCACTTGCTTCATAAATCCAGATGCAGGTCCACGGGTGAGATGGTTGCAGAAAGCACAAGCCATACATCATGAGCAGGAAAGAGCAGAACTGTGTCCTAGCGCTGAGGACACAGTGGGGATCCGTGGCCCTGTCCACCCGGTAAGCAAGCAGTGTTTCCGTCCGAGCCCCACAATTCTCTCTTTATGCAGAGGCAGGTGTGTGGTTGATTTCAGGGAACTCTTTACTGTCATCAATGGTGCCACATGGAACACGTCCCAAACCAAATCCCAGCCCAGGCCGGGCAGAGTGTGCGTTGCTCCTACAGCATTCCAAAGACAGAAGGTTCTTTACTTCATGTGAATTTCTCCTTCACAATTATTTATATGTTCTATATATAAATACATATGTACATATACAGATATATGGGCCTCTGTGTGGCTGAACAGTATATTTTGTAAATAGAAGCACTAGTCCCGATTACAGAGTGAGCATCAGAGTTTTTACCTCCCCGCGAGCACTTCAGATCAGTATTGTATTCATTATATTAATAAATGGGTATCTTTTTCATTGTAACATAAAGGTGGGGTTGTTTTGCTTTTTTTTTTTTTTTCCCCCCTGAAAAATAATTGCCTTTATTTTGTCTCATGGCCTCCCTGGTTTCAGAAGAGAGCAGTTTTATTATAAATATTGTATGGACTTTGTATATTAAGAGAGGAGCTCATTTCAGATTCCTGAAGAAAGACATTTTCACTGTTATTTTTTCAAAGGGCATCTTTTGACTTTTTTGTTGTTCACTTTTGGCATCTGTACATAAGTAATATTGATGGTGATATAAAAACTTTTGTTATGTGAAAATATTTAAGTCAGAAAACTGTTAAATAATATTACTTTTTTTTTTCCAAACTGCTTTGTGTATTGTATATTTTTTTAAGGAAAAAAAAGCCTTATTTCACTTATTCTTGTGATACTGGACTTATTATATATCTTGAGGTTTTCCTGGAATGTCAGTGTGTACCTGGCTATAGTCCATATATTCCGAATAATTGTAATTGTGCCAGAATTTTAAAGATTCTGCTTTTAATGCACTTTTCTTTTATAATTTTGTATTAAAATATTTTAGAAATGTTGATTAATTTTGGTGAACAGATATCTCCAAAGTTGAAATTATTGGAATTTAAAAAATTTTGTTCTTGCTAGGTTATTTATTTTGGTTGTAGCATTAAATGTCATCTCTCAGGACAGTCTCTAAAAGGGGTTTATTTAATTCCTAATTGTACAGAAAGCATAGTTCAGTGAACTGTATTGGTGAACTGCCTGCTTAAGGCCTTACCAGGTGAATCTAAAGCCTACCTTTATTTTCGTCAAAGAAAAAGAAAAAAGATCAATGATTCATTTTATGAGTTTTCTCAATTTATTAACTATTAGTAGGCAAACGCAAGACATTAATATATTATTTTTATTTACTTCCTAATTATAAAAAGCTGCTTCTTTGCAAAACATTCCTTGAAAATATGAGGTTTTGTAAAGACATAATTTCACTTGAACCTTTGGTGGCATACAGGTTGATCTTTATATTTTAATGGTTGATAAATGTCTTCTGACGAGATTTCTAGCCTCCTGCATAACCAGGGTTTTGAGAATAGATAACTGTATTTTTAGAACTATCTCATCCTAGCATATCTGCTTTGGAATAACAATAAATAAAAAATGAAGTTAGGAAGTGTGATTAATTTTTTTCTTTTAAAAATGTTTACCATATAATAATTTGGCACATGAACTAATTTCAAGTTCAGATAATTTTTTAACCGAGCAGAACTTCTAATGATATTTTCCTTTGCCTCTGTGATGTCCAGACGATGAAAACTTACCCTTGCAAGGTCTGTCTGAAGTCAGGACATGGGTCAGTGGCAGGCGTCATCTGTGTGTGTGCTCAGGGAGTGATGGGCCCTTGGGAGTGATCCCTGGGCATCTTGAGTACAGCTCCAAGGTTCTCGACTGTCTTACACTTTTGTAGTGAGCTGAGAGGATGAACTGCCTTTGCACACCTACTAAACTTAAAACGAGGGTAGAGTGCTTGCAATGTTGAGGTGGCGGGGGTTCTGGAGGTGTGGGACTCCATCCACTGGAGAACACAGACGGCGCCAGATAACATAAAAACGTCCCTTAGAAATGCTAGCGGAAGTGCCCTACTCTGAGGTCTCCTTGCCTCCATTGATACTTCAGTGCTTGGACAGGGTGGAGGGGGGACCCTCGGGGACTCAGAGGTGCACCTGCCTGCCTGGCAGCCCAGTGTTGGGGCCCTCAGGCTGTGCTTTACCTTCTGACGATGTACTGACGACCCGGAACCTGTGTCTTCGTGACTGACTCCCCTGTCTGGTCAAGTTTCTGTTTCATCCAGGTGCAGCATTTCAGTGGGCCCCGTGTTGTTAGCTGGCAGTTCTGTGCTCCCCTGCCTGCTGCTGCGCTAAGCAAATTGAACTTGAGCCTTACAATTATTACCTAGCAGTCTCTGATCTCTTCCAAACTCCAGAGTAACATTTATTTGCAAGAAATGCACGTGTCAGCACAGGTACAATATTTTTTAAAAAATGTAAGTAGAGCTCTGTTCTTTCCCCCTTTGCTGAAAAATATCTGTAACTCATGAAGATACACATTTTTAATGTTAAATGATCCCTCAGATTAATGTGCATAACATCTTTTTAAGGAAATATGTAAGATAAATAGGACTGCTTTCTTCTGGGCATTATTTTTAGGGACTTTTCATGCCTGCTTTTTGCCTTTTTTTTTTTTCCAGTTTATTTCAAAAATCAATATTGTGGCCCCCCCCCACCAAAAAAATTAATCCGTCGATCATTGCTAATCTATTCTTTTCCTCATATCGACCATGTGAAGTGAGGCAGAGATGAAAGCATATAATTGGCACTTTGTACAAGTAATCTAGATTTTTTTCTTTTTTTGCCACTTAATCTCTATTCAGGTGATGTAGGATTTTGGGTTTTTAGAATAGAATTTCAAAAGTGCTTACATTCACATTCTGGGTCTTTTATCTTTACCTTCTTCTAACGAAAATTAGCATTTAAAAACCTAATTGCATCTTGCAGGCAGAATTTTTGTAAGGTTGGAAGCACTGTGATTCTCCAGTAAAGACATTTTCTTTGCCTTGGTAAGGTTTATAGCCAGGTGTCCTATTTGTCACCGTTGACCCCATGTGAAACGGCTCCCTTCTCGTGGGCGTGGCGTGGGCGTGTGTTTGTGTGTGTGTGCACGTGCACGCACGCACACACACAGATGAGCCCGCGCTCCCTGTCTCACCCACCTGTCCTTCACAGAGAGGCGTTGGGGTAGTTTCTCATATGGTTGATGAATGAAGTACTTAAAGCACTAAGAATAAAGATTCAGTGGCAGGAGCAATAGGCAGTAATCATAAAAGATTTTGCCTTTTAATCTTTTTTATGTGTAATGCTTTACAGCACGAAGACCATTTGTAATCGATTTGACAGATTCTACAGCAATGTAGTCATTCATTCTTGATTCACCACTAAAGAAAACTTTTAAAATCAATTTTTTTTTATTTACAGAAGAATCCTTTTTTTTATCTTCAAAGTTGTTCATGGTCTAGACATTGGCTGATATTTCTTTAATCCAATTTTGTATTAAAAATGGGGAGTTATGCTAAAAGCCACTGTGCTGACTTTAAGAATAATAAAAATAGTTTTGCATTATTTTAAAACTCCTGTATATTTACTTACTTGGGTTTGGGGTGAGTTATACCTGGTTAAAGATGAACATTTTCTGTAGGTAACATTTGCAGTAAGGGTTAACACAACACAACAATGCTGAATTTGCAATAAATCTGTTGGGTTTGAAGAGTGTGAGAATGCCATATTTTCTATCCTTGAGGATAATTGTCCATTTCCTCTCACTTAAAAGGGGCTTGAGAGTGACTTGCAGTGAAATGAAAACCAATTCTTGTATCACCCTCTGCGTTCATGAGACATGAAGGACATTCCCCAGAAATAGCAGTGGAGTTGGTTTATATTACTGCATCTAATCCTCTTTAAAGATCTATTTCCAGGCTCAGTGATTGAGCATCTGCCTTCGGCTCAGGTCATGATCTCAGGGGTCCTGGGATTGAGTCCCATATCTGGCTCCCCACAGGAAGCCTGCTTCTTTCTCCCTCTGCCTGTGTTTCTGTCTCTCTCTCTGTGTCTCATTAATAAATAAATATTTTTTTTAAAAAAATCTATTTCCAAACTTTTAGAAGCTTGAAATTTAAAGACTCCGTATCCTGTTGAAATAACAAACTCAGGGTATCTTTTGTCCTGTATCCACCTTATTCCTGGCACAGATTGAACTATTTCAAGTGATGGGGGTTTTTTCTCTCCTGGACTTTGCTCAGAGGGAATGGTAAGAAATTGTTTCAGTATGTTTGTTGCTTGTTTGTAGGAAAATGTTTAATAGCTTTTAAAATATGGTGGGTGGGGGAGGGTTTTTTCAAAAAGAATGATCAGATTATGGAAAATCTAATTTTACAGTGGATTGCCTCAACCATTTAAGATGCTTTCCCAGATGAGTCTATCTGGCCTGCTTGCGCTCTAATGATGTAAGAGTATTCATACATAAACAGGAAGGTCTACAAAGCAGCTCATGTGCCAGCAAAGCCAGGGGTGGGTGACCTGGCACCTCGGGCCCGGGGAGCCTGGTGCTGATGACTAACTTCTCTAGGCTTGACCCCTTGTCTATGGAATTAGTTGATTAAATCCCTTCCTTCCACTTGTATTTTCAGTGACTCAAGCAGAGCAGGTTTTCTGCCTTTGACGCAGGATCTTTTTGAGGCTGTGTGTGGAGGATGTGGCCGCAGGAGTTAGAGCATCTTCCCCCAGAGCAAAGCAATGCTTGTGGACTGACCACTATGATTACGGCATGTCTGCCTCTGAGGCACGGTCAGCTTGCTGCCTTTTATAAAAGCCTCGGGTTCCCTGTGCTCTGGTTCCTCCCCTGCAACCCCTGTGCCCTGGGCATCGCCTGGCCCACTTTGGGCCGCCCTTGTCTGTGCGTGCCCCCAGGGCCCTCTGCCAGTGCCTAGGAAACTGGCTTCTTGGGGGCTGGTGGGTCAGGGAGCAACTCAGATGCTTGGCCATTGCTGGCCATATGTCATCCGTTTACTTTGGGCTCCTTGAAATGCCCCTGGCTCAGCTTATGATGTGAGTGGGAATTTTTATTACCAATGTCAGTGGCTGATTCCCTCCACACCACCCACAGTGCTCTTCCTATCACTGGGCAGCTTTTACCTGACAGCTTTTTAGTCCTAAGCTGTCATGCTTTTAGTCCCTAAGAAACAGTGAAAAATGTGTGTAAGCACACACACCGCTTCACACGCTCTGCCAATAAACAGGTGTCTCCCTGATTGTGTCATTCTTGGTCAGTCAAGAATACTACTACTTTGGTATCAGAACAAAGTAATCATTGGTCACCCTGGTAACCAAGCTCTGTGGGAAGAAATTCCTATAATTAACACAAAGCAGCTCATCTTGATGTGATGTTGTAGTTCTGGGTAAAGGGGATGACCGCCCACCATCTGCACCGAGACACTTTACAGTGCATGTCCCCTGACTCCAGGTTAATCTTTCTCAAGCTCAAGAACCCTAAGTCCTTGTCCTTTCTGTATAATCCTGTATTGCCGAAGCAGCTTCAAATTTACCTAAGAGTCGCAAGGTACAAGGAGGGCTTTGGGTAACTCTTCACCAGAGACCCCGTCTGTGTTGGTGGAAGTGTGGACAGTGTCCCCTTCATACAAGCCGAGTCTGCTCAGGGTGGCAGCACCCGGCTCTCGTGGCCCGCTGTGCCCGTCACTGACTTTCCTGAAAACCACGGTGGGTTGTGCCGCAGGCAGTCCCCCCCCCCCCCCCCCGCCCAGTTTCTCTTCCAGGGTTTCTCTGTGATGTGTCTTTGGTCAGAACATCGCAGAAACGATGCTCCCATTTTGTGTCTTAGTGAACCCAACACGTCACCTACCATGGTCCCACTCTTGATGGCACCAAAGTCGCTGTCCTGGGTGTGGTCACTTCCCCTCAGCGGCAGGTGTCTGTGCAAGACCGTGAGAGCCTGCACCCTGGGGTGGTGCGTCTCTAAATGCGCTAGTCCTACCCTTAGGGCGGGCCATCCACCTGGAGGGAGAGCCGCTGCTGTCCCTCATTTCCTCGTCCCTGTATTCATCGTGGTTGGGACTTGCGGGTTCCTATCGTCTTTAACTGCTGCAGCCTGTTAGGATCCTCGTCGATGCCCACTAGATTCCGGGAGCGCGTGATTCTGCGGGCGCTTGCCCCCGCGGGCGCAGTGGACTGTGCTCCTGCCGTCCTGGCCTGTCCGCGCGCAGAGCCAGCCGTGCCCCCGCGGGGCCCTGCTTCCCTGGGGCGGAGGAGCCGAGCCCTGAGCGGGGGAAGTGCGAGGCGAGTGCGAGGCGAGTCCACACCCGCTGGCCTGGGCCCCCGCCCCGCGCGCCCCCTGCCCCGCGCGCCCCCTGCCGGCGCCCCCTGCCGGCGCGCGCCCCCGCCCCCCGCGGAGGGAGAGCGGCCCGTTCCCACGGCCACGTTCCCCGAGGAGCCTCCCGGCCCTGCGCCGCGCCCCGCTCCCCCGCCGACAGCCGGGACTCGCTCTCCTGGCCCCTGCTCCCCGGCTACAGGCGAAGAGTCCCCGGGGAGCCGAGCTGGGGGCCCGCGG